TTTTAAGCATGGGATTGCATCAAAAAAGGTAAAAAGATTAAATATCATATTAAAAAAGCAGAAAAAAACTTTCAAAAAGGTTAAATATAAACAAAAAGAGCAAGCGAAATTAATCAATTAATTAAATGTATAACCATTTATTACGTTTTTAATCGATTAATAATTGAAATTTACGACAGTATATTCTTTGTAACAATTTAATCAATGTGTATACATAAGCAATGACATATCCTTTGAAATCCGAAGCAGTTAGTTAAAATTATATTGACAAAAAGAAAATTAATCTAGTTATATATATTTTTTTCATCTTTTTAATTAAATTGTGATTAAATTAATTATTGCACATCGTTAATATTCAAAATAAATTTAAAAAAATAATTAAAAAATATAGAATGCCTAAAAGATATTATTCTTCTGGGTAATTTCATTATCTTTTAATGTGTCTTCGCGTAATTTTTTAACACATATTTTCATAATCTTCATCAAAAAATTTATTAAATTAAGAAACATTTTTAAAACAAATACTTTCAGTATTTTTTTCTATTTAAAAAAAATCAAAATTATGACTCAATTTACATAACAAATATCCTAAAAATTATGTAAAAACTATATGTTTTACGTTTAGAATTTAATTCAAATTTCATCATCAAAAGTTGTCTGTACGTTAATTTTAAATCTTAATACAGTAGACCTCCCCCTATAACACTGTTGATAATTCCGCGTTATATGAATTCCATGTTGTACGAGTCGCTTATATTTTACAAATGCATGTGCTGGGCTGTGAACGGCTCACGTATTTGTAAAATCTAAGTGACTCGTATAACATGGAATTCATATAACGCGGAATTATCAACAGTGTTATAGGGAGTCTACTGTATTTTAAACTAAATTTATGTTTTATGTTTAATATACTTAACAAAAAGACTAATTATTAAGAGAATCATCTTAAATTACAATCTCCATTAACACACAAGAATTCGCTTAATGTAATCATTTAATGAATTCTCCTGTACTGATAACAAGACTACAAAAGAAAATTTATAAATTATAATCATAATTTACGTTATACAATGTATAATAAAAATTAATTTCAATTAATATAGAATTCTAAGTATAATATTCATGCCATAAATCATAGAAATATTCATCATACAAGTCTAAAAATTTTAAACAAATTAACATGTATACAGTACAGTATATGTGAACTTAAATTTATAGATAAATAAATAAATTTAGATCAGAAAATATAGTACATATCGAAGATAAATTCTATTAACTACAATAAAAAATTAGTACTGTTTTTATAGTACTGAATATAAATAAGTAAATATAATTTCTTACTTTAAAAGAAAATAATGAACGGAAAAAAATATCAAATTTATAAATAAAATTTTATTAAATTTTAAATAATAATTACTTAAACTATATAGAAATTTTCCTAGCAGATTAATTATAATTATAATCAACTTTTCCTTCAATGAAATCGAAAAACTATTCAATTAGGAAAGAAAATTATTCTATTTTTAGATTAGTTACGCGTTGTGCCTCTAATTATAAAACCATTTGAGTTATTAATAACTTAGTTTGTTAATTATAATTATTCGTGTTTTAAAAAGTCGATAAGAAGTTGTAAACAATAATTAAAACTTTCTCAGCCGTTTATTTTCAAGAACGGCATTCTCTTTAGGATATCAACCATTCCTCTTAACGACTCATAAAAACTGAAAAAGTAGATAGATCCGCTTGTTACTATTAAGTTGTTCTAAAGTTACAATAATTCTATATCCACTTTAGGGTGTGACTCGCCAATTTGTCTCATCTATTCGCGAGTCGAGATGATCGCAATAAGCGTTAATTCTATATATAGCTTATCAAACCTTGACAGATAAAATTAGGTTTTTCTCGAGTATAATCCTTTTTTCTTGTGGAGGAATTTATAAACAATCGTAAATAATTAATCGACAAAAATTCCAATGATATTTACACTTACTTTTAACTTTATCTCTTACGTATATCGCAGATTTCCATCCGTAAAAACTAATTGTATCTGAAGTAGCTTTTGCTGTATTCATCATCATGCTTAATTTGAAATGAGATTTTCTATCTGTAAATTCGGAATCTAAGAGATTGATGAATGGTAAATGATAATTATTCGATATCGACACTAAGAAATTCGAAGTGTCTGCGAAGGGAGTAGATGCTACTAACACTGTTATTCCTTTCGCTAATAATGAGCAAACTGTAAATAAATAAATATCTTGTAAGAAATTGGTTCTATAAAAAATATATATATATAATTTTAAATACAACTTTNCCAGTGCTATTAAAAAAAATTAATTCTACTGAAAAGTATCAAAATTAATGTTATTTGAATTTTTACAATGTGTATGTATGTGTAATAAATGTTATAAACTTATGAATTTTATAAGATTTTTTAATTTTCTTCGATATGTCCTTTATTTTCCCCCCAAAAATATGGTCACCGTACCTATAGCCATATCTTTTTTTCAATAAACTTTTTAAATTAATTAACTACAACCCAAGCCCCAGGCTTTAGTAAGGGTCTCCCTGTCCCGTCTTTTGTTGAATTAAATGACATGTTATTTAATATCAGTTAAACCATTTGATTTTCCTTTATTGTTGGGATCATCGATTACACACACACACACACATTAAATAAACTAAATTCCGTAATCCTGTGTTTCCAGGTGTAGAGGAACTCTATCGATGATTTCAAAACGCAGGATTTTAACTTAATGTATAAAATCAACCAAAATAAATAATTAGATGCATTTCGTTTTACAGCCGGCCACTCATCAAGATTATTTAGAAGATATGAGTACAGTACAGAAATTCTGTGTTTTGGATCATTGAATCGTGGATAATTACGGGATTTAAAAAATTAACATTTGATTTTTGTTTTGCTCATATACAGGCACATATCGTGATTAAATTCTAATTTGATTGTGTTTATCTACACTAAATTCCTTTTTCATATAGCGACCTTTTTAAAAAAATATTTTTTCCTTCGACCCCTTCAATATTATATATATAAATATATATTCAACAGCCTCCTATATAATTTAAAACCATCTTATATTTTTCGCTTTCAAATAAATGTATGTAAAATTTTTAATATTTGTAAAGTTTCATCCACCTCCCTCAAACTTTAATCGAACCCGTTGGGTAACCCTGCTCTAAATCATTATTAAAATGCACTGTCATTCAACAAAAGACTAACTGATTTCATTCATTTAATTAAAACAGATAGTTCTCAAAGTTGCAAGGTTTCAGGACATTCAAATATTTGAATTTCTAAACGCTTAAGTTTCTTTTGAAAGTTTGTATTAATTAGGTAAAGTTGAGTAAATTCTGAATAAAAGAGATTCTCTTCATAAATTATAAAAATGAGTTAATACAAAAATAAAATTTTTTAAAACAAGTGATAGAATGAAATTTAAACTTTTTAATGCATTTTTAATACTACTTTCATATTATCATGTACATAACTATTACTGAAATGTAACTGCTATACTTTTTTTCCCCTCAAACTTCAATTTTTCTTAATATATTAAATTTTAATAAACATTTTCTACTGATATTAAAAACATATTCATTGAAGTGTTTAAATCTTTAATGCTTGTTTTTGAAGCGAAAGTATTTCACTTACTTTTCCTCCACAAGCTATTTACAAAATACACAAAATTCTAAAATAATGCTTGCTTGAAATTCGAATTTAGCATTTTTCCTAATACAGTAATTTAAGATTAAATAATTCTGGTTCAATAACATGTATTAGAGAGTTTATTTCTCAATAAGATTGGATGTTTTAATGTATATTTTTGTGATTTCGTCGAATGAATTCAGAATTTCTATTGGCATATATTTGATCAAATGTAGTTTTATTTACTGATAAACAAATAACGAAACAAAGTACATTTCAAAATAGTTTATTTTTCAGCTGCAAATTGCTATTACAGCTGCAAGATGTATGAAAAGCTTGAGAATCAATATTATACAAAACAATATTTTATCTAAAATAACATACAAAAGGCAAGCACATGATTTTTTTTTATATAATCTCATCTTCAGAAACAATTACTGAGATGAGATAAACATGGTTAGTAGATACAGGTGGGTCATGATGGTAAACAATTCTCTGCTCTGCAGGAAAAGAAAACTACACGCCTTATATAGATAACATAAAAACCACTAATTATACTTTGTAAGTGGTTCCAGGATATGAACGACACTTTTGTTAGTTCATAATTCCCTTGCCAACCCTTTCCAACATTGTATTTTGTAATCTCTCCAATTTTAATCATTTCCCAAATTAATGTTTTCCTTCTGATTTAAAACCATGATACTACCTCAGTTCATGCATTAAAAATAATATTAAAAAAGACTGAGAGATTTTTCCAACAGTTCTTGCATAAATAATACATGCATACCATATCAAAATTTTATTAGGCTTTTAGAGATGATACTTATCCATACAACAGTCCAACTGTGATGGACATAACAAACACAATCATTCAATGGCAACATCAATTACCAATAGTGAAACAAGAGAAACTCTCTTGAGCAACCAATAATCCAACCACATTTATGTGGAACGTCAAACTTAATTCGTGTGATATTCTTCCCAATACATCTTTTCTCGCACACCTGCATATGTTATATATGCAGTTTCCATATGCACGCACACATACACACACATATACACAATACAAAAAATAATTCGTACTAGATTCTTCTAAAATCAACAATCTAATACATAATAACAACTCTTTCTTCTTACATGTACATGGCAGTTCTAGACAAGTGAGGAAAATAAAGAATGTTGTACAACAACTGCCCGTTTTAAGTATTGGCACTTGGGCAAGATGGAAATGGCAAAATGAAGATGCTAGAGTTTCAAAATGGACGGTAGGTATGAGTCTTTGAGATTTTTTTTTACTTTCAAATAGAATGAGATGCCAAAGTGACCTTATTTGTTCAATATAAAAATTCTTCTGTCTTCCTTGTCTCTTGTACAGTGATGCCATCTTGTTATTGGGCCACTTCCATTATGGCACACAACTTCAAGAGATGTGCGAAATAAAGAATCACAACTTTAGAAATAAAACATTTTTCACACCTGAACTCCTAATTCTGGATCAACTGTGTATTCGTATTTTTGTGTTTTCTTACCATCATCAGATTCACTTACATAACTTTCACCTTCAGTTTCAGGTTGTGATGAACATTTACTTCTACAGTTTGTTTGATTTTCAGAATTTGTCTCTGAATGTTTGTTACACATAGATGAAAACACAGGATTTGCATGAAGAAAAAATGCCATTTTTTCTCTGAAAAAAAATACATCATCATTACTTTTTTCAAGATAATGCTAATTATTTATGTTATATATTTTTAATAATGTATTTTATTATGTAATTTTTTACTAATTACAGTAGAGTCTCGAAAACTCAGCACTCGATAACCCAGCCACACCCTGGCAGGGCAAAAAAATCCTTACTTAATTAATTTTCATTATAGACAGCTTTATGCCTCAAAGTATTTTTCTGAGGTCTGTCTTATCAGGTAAATTACTGTACACAGTGTATTCATTAATTTTCATTTTCATGTAGTAAAGGCTCTATGCCTTCATAAAGGACGTACTTTTCCTTTGTTTAAGGGTATTTGAGCAGTTTATTCTCTGTTGTATTCTCAAGTAAACAATACATACAAGTACAGTACAGTATTTTCTGAGGAAACGGAAACACTCATACTTATTTTTTTTAACCCCATTCCCGAAAACCCGGCATTTTCAAAAAACTCAGCCACCCTTCGGTCCACATTAGGCTGAGTTTTCGAGACTCTACTGTATTTAGACACCATTATTAAATCATAATATATGAATCTCATACAGAGATTGGAAAATAAATGACAGCCATGACAATTACAAATGTGCTCATCATTTTTGCATTATAACTATTACTCTGTATGCAAGATAGGTTTCCTACCCATTCACTGGCAGAATGGTTTCTTCCAATTTTAGACAAGGTGGATCAGTCTAAAATGGTGTTTTAAGTTGGAGCAGTAATGTTGGTTGAAAAATTGCCTTGAATTCCCTTGCAACCTCAAAGCAGTATAAGCATTCAGAGAGGGTTGTCAGAAAAAAAGAGTATAAACAGTATCCCAGGCATCTTCACTGTGTTATGGAAAAACAGGTGCAAACCATGGCTGCATTGTTGGAGAATGATTGAAGATGGACAATTTGTGAGCTAAGTCATGAAAGCAATCTATCTCACATGACCATCCTGCACATTCTGTGGGAAAAACTGTGTATGTAAAGAATCAAATCTCAATGGGTGTCACAATGCTATCAGATTGAAGGACCAGCATTTTTATGTCACATTATTATGCTAGCTGAAACGTGGACTCAGTCCAACAGACCTGAATTGAAACACCAATCCACTGAGTGGCAACATTATGCTCTCCTTGACAAAAGAAATTCTGGCAGAATCCCACTATCAAAATTATGATCATTGCTATGTACAACTCTGAAGAGGTTATCCTAACACACACTGCTCACTCAAGGGCAAACCAACAATGCACGGTACCATATCCACTTCTTGGAACATAATCTGTAACCTGTGCTGCATATGAAATGACATCACTTCCTGAAGAATCACCCATCATTTCCATTGCCATCTGTCAATCTTAGTGAAGAGCCTACTCAGTAGACGGGGGTTGAGAAGTGTTGTACCACCTTCCATACCTTCTGGACAAGAGTCCATGTGATTTTGAATTGTTCCTTAAAATGAAGGAACTTCTTTGTGGAAATTGCTTCAACACCATCCAGAACATTACATAAGCAATAGACTGCTTCAAAACAGATATCAACAAAAATCAGGCTGCTAATGGCAACAACCAACTTCCACATTGAAAACAGGTCATCTTGCTTGAACAATACAGGTGACCACACAGAAGGACTATAAACTGCACACAGCTATACTTTTTTCCATGTAATTCCATGTAATGTTTTCAGTGATTATATATTTTCCAACCTTCATGTATGTCATACAGGGTGATTCAAGTCATTAATTTTTTAAAATTTCTGTAACTCACAAACTATTTACAGTATGATGATGGAGCTTTCACAGAAGTGCTTAGAAAGAAGTCGGATTTTTTTAGGTGTAACTATTTTGATACTAAAATTGTTATTACATTTCAGTTTTTTACAGCGCCATCTATGGCACAAAATCATTTGTAATTTGTTACACTAAGAACATTTTAATTTTTTTATTCTTACTTTATGCTCTAGTAACAACTTACGCATTATGTAATCTTATCAAACACCATCTATGGCAAGAAATGTAACTATTCTGTTACTAAAATTTTTATTACACGTAGAAAGAAATAGTATTTTTTTTTTTAAGCATTTCTGTGAAAATAGCATCACCTTACTGTAAATAGTTTTAAAGTCACAGAAATTTAAAAAAATTAATAACTCAATCTCAAAAGATACTCTGAGAATTTTGATTTGAATCACCCTGTATTTTTTTTGTTTTAATTTTTTTGTTCTTTTTATTTCAGTGCTAAGAGTTAAATCCTTCAATTCTATATTAAAACTATTCTATATATTGTACTAAAGAAAGTATTTTGTCAATAAAAAATTTTTAACATGTCTATTTGATGAAGCCCAGAATGATTTTAAATATCTGATAATACAATTTAGAAAAAATTTTGTATATTCAATAAAATACTTTCAAGGCACAATATTTTCCTTATTGATAAATATAAATTTTAACCTCAAGGAAAATATTAGATCTAATAGAAATGTAATAAAAAATAAACTTCAACAATTCTAATTTCATATATTATAGTAGATGATGTCACAATCATAAACTTAATTTTTGTTAATTACTTTCTACACTATAAAAAATATATTTCCTCACTTGAAAGAACTTAAATCAGGTTGTTTTTTGCNTAATATGACATAAAATGGGAATAATAATAATTCTTTCGATGTTCAGTCCTATTTAACAAGATGTCTGTCTAAGGTTCTTTCCACATTTGTGACAGAAGCATTCTATTTTTCCTTCTATTTTCTTAAACTTAATTTTTGTTAATTACTTTCTACACTATAAAAAATATATTTCCTCACTTGAAAGAACTTAAATCAGGTTGTTTTTTGCGACTTTTCCTCAATTTATAAATTTCTCTAGATGTCTTCTTTAATAATTTTTCTATTTTCTTATCCTCAGGATTTTGCTTATTTCCCTATAAAAATAAAATAAATAATTTTAAATAATACAAACCTTGTTTTTTTTTTATATGTTTTCTGATCAATTATTTTTACTAAATTCATTTGTATTTAGACTTAAGTATCTAATGAAAGAAAATCTTTTTATTTAATCAATTTAATACTTTTTTACTTATTTATAACAATTATTTTGTAATAGGATTTCCAATGGTAGATATTCTATGTTTAAATTGAATATTTAATCAAAGCTACAGTAAGATCATGGTGATCATGCAATTACTTTATTTCATTACGAGCCAACATTTGTAGCTCATCTGGATAATACAATAAATGCTTCAGTCTATTGTTAGCTTCTACTAGAATTCCTATATATTAGTATATGCCACAGAAAATCACAAACTAACTAAAAGATTTAATTAAAGAGTACTTAATTTACACTTAACCTCAACAGGAGCTGTTCACTCTTTGAACATTTTGAATTCCAACAAAATCCCAACTGTTGGTTGTCCCCTTTCTCCTTTTGTTTCTTTTCAGATACACATCCACAACAAAATCAACACTCTAAGGCCACACTATATTGTTAGTTATATTTTTAGTTAGCTATATTTTTGTAAGTAGATATCATATCAGAAAAAAGCATGAGCAATTCAATTAAGAGACCCCTATATTTATGTACTGATGGATTATATGAAGATATGTTCAGATTTATTAACTTCACAAAACCTTGTATATTTACAAATGGAATACAAACTTATTTAGATTGCCATCACACCCCTAAGCAAATGTCATAAAGCATTAACAAACAACAGTCAAATGTATAAATGGCATAAGCAGTTTAAAGAAATGCTTAAATTAACTGATAAAGCTACACCTATAACCTATAGCCAAGCAAAGTACAGGGAAAATCAGAAAAGATTAGAGATCTTGCTAATATTTGTAAAATTTCTTATACATTTATAAATGCACACTTAAATTGTCATGAATTATATAATGGTATTACATCTGGGTGCACATTGCTCAATAATATTAACAAACGAGCAACAGAAATACTGTATGTGCTCATTAGTATGAAACTTATTAAAATGATGGATAATTATGACTTGTTTCAAAAAACGATTGCAAAGACAGTACATTTCATTGTCTTCAATCGTTTCAGGTTAAACACAAAATAAGTATAGAAATCTCTAACTTCAGCATAATCCAAAATAGTATTTTACAGATATATCAAAGGAAAAAAATCATCTTAATAGTGTTTTTCATAACAAAAGTTTTAGTTCATTAAGAATCCACTTCTAAATGCCATATTGTTACAAATAAGAAGCATGTCAATATTTTTAGCTAAATATTTTTGTGAATCAGTAAGTTGAAAATAACATTATTTGTGACAAGCAAACAGCTGAGTTTTATTACATTGTCTCCTTCATATTTGTTTTAATATAAAAAAATATTACTAGAGAAGACAGAATTTCTATTCTTCCTTAATCTCTAGATCCCAGCTTTTAGATCCAAGAACCAGATCAAGATAGATAGGATAGCATTTTTAAAACTCAAAGAACTGTTAAAAATTCATCATTCTATTCAACAAAAGAAATGAGAAATAATGTGGTTAGGGTTTAAGATGTCATAAATGGGTTAAGGAATATTATGATAAAGAGATAAGAATGTTGGTTAAAGTGTGGGATTACTTAACATAATTTTGAAAATAATCATATTTGTTAATTATATATCATACGTATTAGTTTTATATAGATTATAATTTAAAACTGAATCACAAAAGATTATTTATACTACCTTATACATTAATTTAAGAAGAAACAGTTTAATGCAGCCAATGCTACAATCTTGAGTTTCTATTGAAATATGTTTTGATTTGATTTTAATACAGCAAAAATATTTATTACTATATTGATTTAAAAGAAATATTTCAAATCACTTATTGATATTCAAATGAAATTTTCCAATACAGATAAATCATAAAACATTAGTTAAAAATAATTGGGAGAAATTATTACATAAATAATAGCATATCACTAATTTTGTTTCTGAATGTGTCTATGTATGCATGTGAAAACTACTAAAAGTAATAAGAAATATACCTTTTTTTTATGTCTTACCTCTTTATTAATTGTAGCAAGAATTTGTTGTAATTTTTCATTTTCATTTAACCATAAAGGAATTTCCTGATCTCCTATAAACAAAATATTTCAAACAGTTTACATTTAAACTATTTCATACAAGTATCAAGCAAATTTTAAAATTTATTTTATATTTCAGTATACAAATATTAAGTCATAGTCCATTTTTACTAAACTTCAAAAAGATGAAAAATATAATTTTTTATCTAGTTAATTTTTTTCTCCGTACTTCTAAATGTTTTGAATGTATTATGAAAATAAAAATATAAAATTAATTTAATAATAATAATACAACTTTTGATCATTTTTAAACTTTATTTCACTGAAACAACAGCATTCACAGAAATAAATAAGAAAATTGCTGTTTCATATAATAATTTCAATTATTTTAAACATTTTTTTACTTGCAAATACATTAGACTAAGTAGTATTATTTTAAATTATTACTATAAAAATAAATGTACAGAAATATATATAAAATAATGTACATATAATAATGGAAATTAACTTTATGTGAACATTTTTTCCTTGTTTATTTCTATAAAAATAGCTAATATTCATAACAAGAACAATCAAAAGTTAATAAAATGACTTCAAACAAAACTTAAAAAATATAATTGTAAAAACACACATTATTAATTAGATTTGCAGAAACTTTAATGTGGTGTGTGTGTATACATTTCTCATCATAATTGTTCAACATTTAAAAAAGCAAGTAAAAGAATAACCATATTGTATATTAAACACAACCTTAATCTTTTTAACTTTAATTTCATGAAGAATCCAGACAAAACTTGAAATTATAGCTTGATGTTGTATGGCAGTTGAAGTAGTTATTATTCATTTTTGAAATTAACTAGTTTTCTGCACAAGTTTCTAGTGTTTTTCAGTATTCCATATTCTCTGTAATATCATTTTCTCTCTATTTTCTTTTCCACTCCTTTAACAACTTCAATTTTTGAATTACTGTAATAATAAATTTTGTATGGTCCATGCTTAGACATCATAAAAACAACTCTGTAATCTATCTAGACTCAAATGTCATTAAAATTACAAAATGACATATTTTCCATGTCCCAGAAGTTTACAAAACATACATTTCGGGTACTACATTAAATCTAGAATTAACACACAGTTAACTGATAGTTCAAAAATGAAAGATGAAAAGAATAAATATTAATTTTGAGAGAACTATACCTTTTAACGCTAATTTTACTACAAATTTCAAGGAAAAAAGACTTAACCAATTTGAATTATTGGCTTAGTCAAGTTCAAATTAACCAAATTCAACTATACTACTCATTACCATGATACTTTATAATACTTATACAATTTTTTTTCTTCTTCATAAAATTGATAGTATTATCTTAAAATTTAAAAAGTTTTTCTAAATTGCTTTAAATATAATATTTTAGTCTAAATAAACCAAGATCAAAAATTTCATAATCCAATAAATTTGAATTTTATTTCATGTTGACATTTTTCTTTTAACTATAAAAACATTTTTTAATATAACTTAAAATATTACATTTCACAACAACAATAATCTATTTGAAAAACTTTTAAATAAATTTTATTAAACACTATATGATATACAGTGCTACCCAGAGTTATGTGATTTTCAAATCTCGTCAATTCGTCTTTTGTTTGAGCGCCACGCAACTCTTGATTACTCACTCCCCTCACACTATTGTTCAGTTTACATGTTTGGACGTGTTGTGTGGAATCGACACATAGCTATAATTTATTTTGTGTTATTTATTTCTGTGTTTGTTATATCTATGGAGACTTGAGAGACTCTATGTGGTGATTTCTTGTAACCATGAATGAATCAAAAGACGAGAACATTTTATTAGCTTACATACATCTGACTTGGATTTCACACAAATTGCGAAATTATACCCCAACTTACACGAATTTGACTTAAGCAGTTATCGCTTGGTCCCACCTATTGCGTAAGTTCAGGGTATCACTGTATATGAATATAGCATCAAATTAAGCATTCAACTTTGCTATATCTAACATTTTTCCATTTTCAGAAGTTTTCAATAAATATGGAACACATTCATACTACATTATCAAAGACAGTGACTTAATGTAATATGCTATGACAAACCAAAATTAAGACTCTCTATCATAGTAACAAAACATGTTAAAATTATTACTTTTCTAGTTTTATTGGAATGTCATTACATTTAAGCAATATTTACCTTTAGCTCTAGCTTCTTCTAAATGTTGTTTCCATTCTCTTAACTGTGCAATTTCATCTTGTAAATGATTTAGTCGAGTTTGTGAAGCCTGCAGATCAAGGGCTAAATCAAGTGATGTTCGTATGGGACCAGCCCGCAAACCAAACACACTTGAACTATGCTTTGAACAAACCGGTGGAGGCTGAAAAATTGCATTTTTTTATATTGGTGATCAGATTTTCCAATAATATAATTTGTTTTTTAAAAAAAAGTCAATTATTTTTATGTTAAAAAAATCGAATATTTTTAGTACTTTTGATGATGAAGTCTCCAGACCATCAGAATCAAATACCAATAAAAAATAAAAACAGGAAAAAAGCTTACAATAAAATAATTCTTAAAAACTTTTATTAAAAAAACAAAAATTCAAGATCTCTGATTTTTGTTATATATATATATATATATAAAATAAGGAAACTTATTCCTCAAACACATTAAGGAGTAAAATTTTACTTCATTTTAAAGATGGCCTGTCGTTCTCAACATTAACCATAAGAGAAGTTGAATGAAAATCCTTTTCTTATTTACAAGCTATTTTTACCTTTTTCCATCTGAGACTTCTCCTTTCTAAGGAATTACGTTGAAAAGGTCCAGCTTTACGATACAATGGCATAGAGCTATCACTATCACTTCTATTTAACTAAAAGTAAATAAAATTTTGAAAATTATTTTATTTTAGTCTAATAATATATTAATTTAAATACTTTTTAATAATAAAAACATAAATTGAGTACTATTTTCATCATAAATTTTCTTAGTCCTGCAAACTCCTCTATATTAACTTTTATTATTAAATAAAATCTTTAAATTTCAGAAAAATGTTATTTGAAAAATTATTTAATTTTTTGTGTAACTATGTAACATACATTTTAAATTAAATAAACTGACTCAATATATGCTCAGCTTATATTAATATTAATTTTAACAATATAAGAAAAAATTTATTTTTAATTATAGTTTTAAAAATTTAGTAAATGATATTGCTGCATACAAAAATAAATCAAATCTATTTTACAACTTAAATTTTTCACATTATAGTTTATTTATATAAAATTACAAATAAATAAATAATTGTTAAATATTATATAGTTCAGTATCAAAATTAATAGAGAATTAAATCTTAATGATATTTTTATAAAAATTGGAATAAAATAACTTTATCTGATTATTCACTTAGCAGATATAGAAATAGATTGGAAAAATATAGTGTGTTTATAATGCAATTTAAAAAATCTTCTAGTTAAAAGTAGTATAGAATTTGTTTACAATAGTTGTGAAAAGCCTACTGTATTAATAAATATATGAACTGTCTTTTTTTAATATATTATTTAAAAACTTGGCAATTTTATTTTCAGTATTATTTTCTTCATTTTTCTATTTGAGATTTTTCAAAACACAAAATTTATACTACTAAATTAAGCTTTGAGGTTCTAAAAATATTTGTTATTCAAATTCAACTTTAAAAAAATTTTAAGATTAAAATTAGGGTACAGACATTTAGTAACAATTTAGATAAAAATTTCCATAAGATGCTCAACACTATATACTTGTATATGTTGTATTTATTTTTACTCTTACTTATATGTTTACTCTCTTATCTCTTAATAAATCAATGAGCAGATTGATCATAATGTCTATGAGAATATGATATACAGTTTTAAATATAGCTCCATATAAGCATAAGGTAGTTTTGTTATGTAATAATAATTTTACAGAATTATTAAAATATTTTTATTTTTTACTTTTTTCATAATGTTCAATTTAATAGTAATTTAAACAATACATTGATTCTAATAGCACTAAAATACAGCCTAATTCAATTTCTGAATAAAAAATTGTTCAGAAATTGAATGAGATATTTTAACTCTTGGCCAAAATTTACCACTCCTAACAATAAAATGGCAATCTATATTTTAACATTTACTGTTACTTTAGGTATTAAGTATTTAAATGTTAATACATTTGAAAGAACAAAGTAGAGGAAAAAATGTTTAATTTTTAATAATCTATTAAATTCCACAATTTTATATAGAATAAGAATTTATAAAAAATTTACCTACCCTACAAATATATTGATTCTTGCTTACAGCTGCACTAGGAGAAAAAGTCTGTGATCTTTTTATCATAGCTGTTCTAGAAACATCATCTGATCGTTTTTTAGGACTTTTCTCAGGCATGAACACACATTCTGTATTTGTTTCTTTATCACAAAGTGCTACATTACCAAGTCTTTCTGCTTCACACTGGACACAACGTTTCTGAAATACATATAATTTCAATTTAAATATTTTATAACCAATGTTGTAATTTATAATAGTATTTTGAAAATTGTATAATTATTTTATTTATAACTAATAACTGTATAATGCAAATAAATGTGTTTCTGTAATTGATATAAGATGATAATAAAGGTCTACTGTTAGTGTATATAACAAAAAAATGCATGTTAGTCAAAAAATTAATCAAGTCTATTTTGACTGAATATGATGAATAAGAAAGAAAATTTTTTTATTCTATTTTAAATATTCAGTAAATTATAAACTGCCATGTTTCATTATACTGAATGTAATATTAAAATAGAATTTTTTTGAATTTTAGTTTAACAAGTTTCAGTCTATATCTGCATTTTAAATGTTATAATACTGTTTCGGTAAAATTGATATTACAAGCTATAGTGTAAAGTTCATGATATGAAAAATGATTAACAGCTGACAATCATTATTGCATAATATACTGATTCAATGAAGCAGAATTTGATTATTATTAATTGCTTTCAATAAAATTTGCAGATTATATTTTGTGTCTTTTTTGAATGCCAATGCATTACATCTATAAATGTCATAAATAACAGTGTAGGGAGTAAGATAGTAAAAACTATGTTTAATAGAGAAATCTAATATAAATAATGATTACATAAGCAATCAATTTGATATAAATATCATAGCCTGTTACTTCATATAGGTTCTTCAACGCTAAAAATATTTTACAATAAAAAAAATTGGCTTAATTCTCAAATGCAATATATTTTGTTTCAGATTAAAGTAGCATTTAATTGTCAAAACCAAATGATTGTCGTATTATAGATGTCTATATATTACTAATACTATTAATAATTGAATGCTAAGTAATTTGGCTTTAGAGGTAGGCATTAGGCAGTATCTCATGCTAAATTTAATAATTATAATTAATAAAGTTCTGGAAGAAAAGAATTAGCCAGAATGAGACTTAAACCTGCAACTTTCACAAACCATAAAGTCATGTTGCCAATTATGCTACTCAGTAGTCTGATCTTCACTTCCAGAATATTAATTTAAATGTACTTATTGTGCCAAATAAAGATTACTTGGCACCCAGGGCCTGTAACTCCCACTATGGCACTTAGGGGTCTTGAACCCGCAAGATGAGTTGCAGCTTCAAGTCTTGCTTTGGGCTGATTCTTTTCTTCCAGAACCTTTTATAATTAATTATAAAAGTATAATTTAATTATAATTATTAAATTTAGCAAGATTTAGTGCCTAATACCTACTTCTAGTGTCAAATTACTTAGCATTTAATTATTAATTAATAGTACTAGTAATAGAACCTGATATATATTATAATCCAGCAATTGTTGGCTTTAACTATTGGGTTTTAGATGCTGATATTTCATTTTCAATGCAGACCATAAAATACACAATTAAAGTTTAAATATAACACCATTAGTAATGGACATGCTAACCTGAAAATCTCATAATTCTAGTTAGTGTCTGACTTAAATTTATATAAACTGTAATAAAATTTTTCTTACTAGCTTTCCTTCTTCAGTAATATTCACTAAATTTTCTTCAAGTCCTTCTCCATTCTCTTCGTCATCATCATCATCGTCATCATCATCATTATCATCACTGTCGTTGCCCTCTTCACCCATTACTCCACCAGAATCTACTATATCATTTCCTATTTAATTTTTATGTTTTCATTTCATAAGTATACATTAACTTTTGCAATCAGTGATGCCTGTAAAACCACATACCTTGGTTTCTTGTAAGAGTTGAAGTTTTCGAAGAAATAATAGTTGATTCATCACTACTTTCTTCTTTTAAACTCATAACACGAGGATGAATACCTTCTACAATTTCTGATCGATCATCAGCAATCTATTTTAAGTACAGTGTTTCAGCAATGTAATTGAATATAAAAATTACTTTATATTTACTTTATACTAACCCTATTAACTCTATCAGGAAATGGATCAGGTTGCATAAATCTGAAACTCAACACATTATACCATTTCACAGTTGTAGTTTCAGGATTAAAATCAGCTAAACTTACTTGAGAACTACCCTATATTAAAATTCAAAAATGTTTTGTATTAGTTTTAGAAATTATTAACATTTCTATTTAATTTTTTCATATTATTCATAAATTTAATATTTTTTATTATATTTAAAAATTTGTAAGTTAATTAGTAATGTAATTTAATGGCATAACTAACTTTTATGATATCAATGTCAATATTTAATTATAATGCAATGTACATATTATACACTAGGGATGACCAACAAGTCAATCAGTATACCATTTTCAGTCGAGCACGAAAAGTATGGCCAAATTAAAATGTGAAAAACATGATGTAATTTTGATAGAAGTATTAAATTCACATTTTTCATGCTGAAATCTTAACTATTCACTATGAGTTTGTAATGCTCCATAAGATCAAATATGGTGGATACAAAAGTTTTCTTGGGGTTGAAGGTCATTGCTAGGTTATGTCACTTTAGTAATTATTTTGCTGCACCCTAAGCAATTTCAGTTAAGTGCAAAATAATTGAACCAAAGAGAAACAAAATTTATGATTTCTGCAATGAAAGAAATAAAATTCATTTCTGTTATGGTAAAAAATAAATGGTGTCATTTAATTTACATTTAGATTATTATTAATTGCATGTGCAATTAATAATAAATTGTATTTACCAAAAGATGATGATCTGGAACACTAATTGCTGTGCAATAAATAAATATAATTACATTTTGTAGCCTAATTTTATTAGGATAGTTTATTGAGCTATTATAAAAGAACAGAGATGTGAAGTAGATTATTTGTGCTTTTAACTTAGTAGGGTTTGATTTGACTTTCATAAGTTGCCAGATCTGGTATACAGGTATACCTTGGGTTACATCGTTTTGAGTTAAGTCGTTCTCGATTATACATCATTTGTCAAAAAATATATGGAAAAATAAAAATCAAGTTTGTCATTTTATTCAACTTTACGTAAAGTCTGTCTGCCACAAATATTGAAGTTGTAATATCACTAAAAAAGCATTAAAAGCACAAAATCATATTAAAATACATTTACAGTATATGTTATCAATAATATAATCATCATAAATCCTAGAGAACAAAATATGAAAATATCTGTGACTCTGTTGTCATCTTATTTAGTGGTGTTTAAGAACTCAATATTGGCTTTTTCCATGGTAGTTCCAATATCTACCGTTTAGCGTCGTTGTCAGTGCCACTCGATATTGGTAGATTTAACACAAATTAGTTTATTTTCTACTATCACAAAATATTTTATAAATAACAAATACAGTTATTAAAATTAAGATGATTTTGTAAGGTTAATGTCTTAGAGCAAACCACATTCACAAATAGAGTCAGCAATGTACTGTAAACATCGCTAAATTGTAAACATGTATGTACACGTATTTGTAAATTTAGATAAATTTTACTTTATTTCTGTACTAATTAAGAACTAATTTGTTTAAGAACTAAATAAAATACAGAACTAGGAATGGTTATTTGTGGTTTAGCCTACTGACAAGTAAATTCAGAGACAAATAAATTTGACTTAATTTGTTCCAGGAGAGGCGATTTACCAACATAAGGTGAGGTATACCTGTACACTATACTTTTAGATATAATAGATTTCATATAGCTTACTAATATAGGTATCTAATTTCTAGAAGTTTATTGGCAATTTTTACAATAATACAGTATAATTGATTATATAATCTTATTGTATGTATATATAGATTTGATTATGTATAAATTCTTTTTTTCTATTAATTTACTTTAAAAAATAATAAAGGTTATCTTAATCATCATCTGATAATGTCTAATGAAAGCAAAGTATATTTTCCCTGATTCTACATACGAGTACAAAAATAACAAAAATTAAGAGCTAAACTCAGTAAGTTAATCCTACTATACTGACTCAATAATATTTTAAACTTATGAAATATTCATTCTCAATAATTTTCAAAATTTTTCCATCTCAATATTATATGAAAAATAGCAACAATAGTAAAACTAAATAATAAAAAATATAAAAATAAACACAAATGTTAGAGAATATTCTTAAATTATTTATTTCATTAAAAATCTAAATATAATGGATGTTTAAGCCTCAAAATTAATGACAAAATTTCAGCAATAAATTTTAAATAAATCTGAAATATTATTACACACAATAAGTTAATCAATGTTATGTTTTCTTTTTCATAATTTTTAAAACTGAATTAAACTACAATTACTTACCAAGCATTCTTCTTCATTAGTTGATGATATAGACCAAATATTAACTTGTAAAGTTTTGGTATATAATTTTGACCAAGGTATAGGAAATCTGAAGTTTTCACCAATTGTTGGCTTTCCAAGAGTATCAATTGGGGCAGTACTAAAGTTATCTAATATATCATGTGAACTTGGTAATAATGCCACTTTAATACATCTAAAATATAAATAAATTTAAATGTATACTATGTAATTGCTTTAATTATAATAAAAGTATTGAAATTTCCTGTCCATAATCCTCAGCAATATATAATCTGCAGGAGCAATTTTTCATTGTCCAAAGAAAAAGAAAAAAAATAGTTGTCATAAAATCCAGGAGGACAAATTTTCATTAAAAAAAGTTAGTTTCTACTGTAAACAAGGATGCAAAGTAGGTAATAACAAACATTTTAACATACTTTTTAACTGGTTCCTTGAAAAAAAGATTACATTAAAATCCAAATATCCTTAAAAAACATGCATGTATTCAGAATGGATAAAGAAATAAAACATATATTACCAGTATTAAAGCTTCCATAAAAGCATTTATTTCTCACAATATAATGTACAACAATCAGCACCTCTAAATAAGTTTTACACAAAGAATAATAAACTGTTATGCTCAACAAAAAACAAGTTGTTTCCTATTGAGGATTTGATGTGTTTTCAATCATTGCAGTTTCTAAATTTGAATCATAAAGAAATCCTTTCTTGTCAAAATCATAATTATTGTTCATTAAGTATTTCCTTTTGTTTCTTTTACTTGTTGCCATGATGCTCTGGTTTGTAGCTTCACAAGACTACAGAATCTATAGAAAATTGACTTGATATTGCTTTACTCTATCTGCTATGACAATCTTTGAGTCTAGCAATATATTTTTCACAAGGTGCCAAAACTATAGAACATAGTGTCCTCTCATTATCACAAGATGGCAAAATGATCTCTCTAATTCACTGAACTTTTTATGACTCCCCTGACCATCTGAATGTGAAATATAGTATATTTCTTTTTCAAAAATCAGAATGAATTTTCAGCTCATATGATAAGGATAAAGTTTTTGATGTGTTAAATCTCAAAAATATGCAAAATTGACACTAAATGCAATAACATTATCATTGTGGTTTATGAAGATTTGAAGGAACTCTTAAATGTTTAACATTCTCTAATTAAAAAAATATGTTTAACAAAGTTTCCACTGTAATTAAGTAGCTTTACTGATGCATAAGCAATGAAATAACAATTTTAATAGTTACAAAATAACATTCTCATCAAATTTTGGGAAGAAATTAAATAATTAATATATAAACTACAACTCCACAAACCTAATTTTTGATTAAAACCAAACAATTGATAGATTGTCTGGCTTTAAATAATTTATTTTAAAGCAGTACAATTAAATTTTAAAATCCAGAATTATACTAGTTTTTGCTGTCATAACAAAGTCTAAGTCTAGAAATCATAAATCAATCTTATTACAATAAATTATTTTTTGAGTTCAGACAATCAGTTGATCTTACTAACAGCATGGTGTAACATGTAAATATTAAATAAATCATAGTGGCCAATAAATGCATACTGTATAACAACTCGTAATCTTATTTGTGTTTAGCAATTTTTGGGTGGGAGCAATTAGTACTCAATTTTTTTTTGTTTTGAACATACTACCCATGTGTGTCTGAATGTTGAATTAATAAAAATATTATAATTCAACAACTTCTATAAGAACTTTCTAGATCAATCATTGGAACAGGCTTCTGAATATCTTCATGTCAGCAATAAAAATATCAAGTCTTGTCATATCATCCTGATTTCTTATCAAGGTCAGATAATGTTAATCATTATTGATTATCTAAGCTTAAATATTCAAAACTGTTTCTTGAAAATATGTTTTATTAAGGAGCTTCATTCACTTACCACATTACCACAACTTGTTTATAAAACAAAAAGTAAAATAATGTTAAAACCACTTTTTAACATTGTGAAAAATTGTCTCAGATTATATATAACTACTGTTAATCTGCACCAAGATAGTCAGAATATTTTTTTACATGCTATTTACAGATTATAGGCAGGAAATTATGGTATATATTTAATAACATTTTAATAAATATATATTTTATACAGGCATTACTAGCTAATATGTCAGCTATGTATGCAGTCTATCATGGTCCAAAAGGTTTAAAAAATATTGCAACTAGAGTACATAACAGTACACTTCTTTTAGCAAAAGGTTTGTAATTATTTATAAAAGTGTAATTGAATTTGTCATTTATTGTTCTTAAAATTTCTATAATTTATTTATCTAATTAGTAATCTAATTTTATATAAAAATTTAAGTAAATTTGCCTTATTATGAAGACTGGAAAATTCAATGCATTAACTCTTGTATTTCTAATGGTTACATACACAGAAAATGCCATGAATATAGAATTTGTGAATACTGAAAGCTAGGATTTTGATTTCTAGGCATTAAAATACTTTTCTCTATATCATTTCAAATCAAATGTANAGGTATTTAAACTAAAACCAAATATATTTGATAATTTATTTTGGAATTTTAATGTTTGATTATAATAACTCAAATTGCAGTTCTTCATACTAAAATTTTTTAGAATGTCAGTGATATATTTTTAAACAACTAACAGTAAGTAATAATTCAAGTGACTTTGATATTCAATGATGTTTTCACTTATAAAATTAATTATACTAAATATAAATACAGGTTTTACATAAATATAAAATTAAAAAAGTTATCATTCAGCAGAATTATTTTATTCGTATTTTTTAAAAGTGTATAAAAGACAAATATGAAAATTCTAAAATTTGCATTATTTAATAAACAACTTACACTTTATGTTGTTCAGGTACGGATAGAGCTGCTAAATTTCGAGCTCTTTCTACTCCCACATGGAGAAGACCATCTTCAGATGAATACCTTATAAGAAAAATATTAATATAAATTTATTTTATATTGTAACTATAACTATTAAATGAAAATAATTTGAAAATTTAAATTATGAATTTTATGTAAAATCTAGTTTTATATTTCAATACAATTTATAAATTAAGCAGTATTTGTCTAGAATGACAATAAAGATTATATTTTTTTTCTTCAATTCAATATTAGTTATTTCTATAAATACAAATTGCAGATCACTATTTTTTAGTGATTAATAATAATTACTAAAAAGTTCATAACCATTATTTCTCAATTCTATTATGTTTTAGCATTTCTTAAATAAAAATATTTGTTAAAATATCATTTTCTAGTAATAAAACACAATCATCATATAGGTGTATATTGTATTATAAGCTCAATATGACAAATTTATGTTGACCATAATAATTATTAGCTTTTTTATTTCTTTTTTGCAAAAAAAAATAATTTTAATATTCTAAACATGTTGAAAATATAAGACAATAATATATTAGTTATAAATTCACAATTTCAGTATTTACCACTAAAAATTCCAGAATAATGATTATTAGATAAATCAGAATCATCATCAACAAATTTAATCAGAGGAACAAGAATTAAAGCAGTAAAAAAAAAAAAAAAAAGAGAACAAAATTCTGATTGAATAACTATTTATTTAGTCTATTTCAGGGGTAGCCAAAGTGGTCAATATTGATTCTCGTGTCTATATAACATTATTGGGAGGGGGGTCAACGAAAAGACTAAAACTTACAAATTTTGAACTGAATATTGCTAATCTTGCTAAGGATTATCAAGAATTATCAAGCTTATCCATCTCATTGATTGTCAGTTAAAAAACTTATTAACATATGTACAGTACAATAAATGTAAAAATTAAAAGATATATATTTAAATAGTAAGTGCTTTTTTTTTTACTTCTAACACACACTTTTTGATGGGGGTCAGTCAATGTAAGGTTTCGAAAAGTTGTAGGGGGTCGACGATCAAAAAAGTTTGACAACCCCTGGTCTACTTAATCTTCTTTGATATTATGTTCTATTGTTTTAACAATATAGTAGATAGTATGCTATGTTTTGCAGTGAATAAATATATTTTGAATAACGCAATTTGTTTGTTCTACTGTAATTATTAATTTTTCTATATAAAATTTTCTAGTTTTTAATTTGAATGATTTTAAGAAACAGGGCAGAGGTCAAGTGAGTGCGGTGAGTGTGTTAGGACAACAGTTCTTAGAAACCAAAAGTGAATTGGAACAGGAGCATGAAATTTAGAAACCAAAAGTGGCATGGAACAGGAGCATTATTGTGTAATAAATACCCATAACTGATTGGTCCATAGTTAAGATCAAAGATTTACTCAAGCAGTGTAACATTCTGTTACACTGCTTGAGTACATTACCCCAGGAGTTATAGTTAATTTGAAAATTTAAGACGAGTCCTTTTTTCCTATGCACATCCTTTTTTAATTCCAATCCAGGAGCCATAAACAGCAGGTGATTTGAAGTAAAAACTTCTAAAACAGACAAATACTATTAAAAAATTCACAATTAAAAATGATCCTTTTTTTGTAGGCTATGATATCTACAAACACTAAAACCCAAATTCTTCACAACAGCATTCCTGTTAAATACTATTAAAAATGATCTTGATTATATGTGTGTTTTAGAAGTTTTACTTCAAATCACCTGCTGTTTATAGTTCCTGGATTTGAATTAAAAGAGGATGTACATAGGAAAAAAAGGACTAGTTGTTTGTATAGTCAGATTATGGTAGAAAGTTTTTTTTTAAATTTATCTTGCCTTTCCTGCAATTTTTGTGAAATTGGTCCATTTGGTCTGTGGATTGAACAGGAAGCACTACTTTTCCTCCTCCATTATTATTATGCTCAAAAATTGCAGGTCTTGGTCAGCAACAGTGATGAGATTTCCATTATTTTCATTGATACATCCAACTGGTTTGCTGTTAACCTTCATGGGCTGCACTGACACATCAATTTCAACTGACATACCATATGGTCTCTGATATCCCAGCAACTTCAGTTATTTATTTCATCACCTGGTATCTTATGTGTGCAATTGCAGCAATCTTTGAAATGTTATCAGCCATGTGAGCTGACACTAGATGCCCACTACAAACATTGTCTTTGGCCTCTTTCCTACCATTCAAGACTTTTGACCATGACAGGGTGTTATCGCTATAAATTTCTTTCAACATGTTATAAGTTTCAATGCAAAACTTAATATTAATACACTGCTCAATAAAAGTCATTTTCCACAAATTCCAGATCACTATGAAGCTTGCTCACAATACCAGAATATACTGTAACACATATGATCTACTGTGGCAATACAACGTCTCTTCTCTGTTGTAAGATAATCAAGGAATCATCATGGGTCTGCTATACCCTGTCTCCAAACTCATACATATATATACACATGGGTAGGCTGAAAACTAATGCACACATGCTTGTAGAACACGCTTCAAAATCATATATTTATTTTTCAACATAGTCACCGTTAAGGCTAACACATTTATCCCAATATGTAACAAGTTTTTTCATTCTGTCACTGAAAAATTCTTCAGACTTTTCTCGAATCCAGGACTTGACAGCTGCCTTCACCTCATTATCCAAGGTATAATGATCACCCTTGAGGTCTCTCTTGAGTAGAGGAAAAAAATAAAAATCACAAGGTGCAAGATCAGGGGAATAAGGAAGGTGTGGAATCAGTTCAAACTTCAGGTTTTGCAGAGCCTCTCCAGTTGTGTGCGAGGTATGTGGACGAGTGTTGTCACGTTGCAAGATTATTGGTGTCAGGCTGCCTCTAACACGACAAACTCAATGTTGGAGGTGTTTTAAAGTCTGTATGTACTGAGAAGAATTAAACATTGCAATGAGGAGCAACAGTAATCGTCTGTGGCAGTGATCGGACGTCAGCTGCATGTTTTATCAACAATTATAGCTTTTCCAGGCTTGCAACCACAAAATTTTATTATCCATCGATTTACAGTAAACCTATCAACAGCATTGTCACCATAAACAGCCTTTAAAAAAATGATGAATCTCAGTAGGAGTCACTTTTCCAGCACTTAAAAATTCGATAACAGCACGCTGTTTAACTCATGTTGACATAGCACTAGAACATGTCTCCATATTTCCGCTTCTCAAAATATACTGAATGAACACAACAACCTCAAACTGCGCATGTGCATAGAGGGGGAATGTTACTTCCATATGTCACCTGGCACGCTTCTGAAAATCATTTTGTTTGCACTCTACAAGCATGTGTGCATTACTTTTCAGCCTACCCTCATATAAATACTGTATAATTTGTCTGCTTAATAATAAATATTTTAACAAAGTATTCAAATTACTCTTATATGTAATATTATTTAAAAATTTAAACCATAAACATCTTTTTTGCCAATGCACTTTTTTTCTAAAAAAGAAAAAAAATTAAAATACCAAACTTTTACATGTATTAGAAGAATGGGCTTTTTGTTTTTTATCAAATGTAATGTCAAATCTCATAACAACTAATAAAACTTAAAAACTTTGATAAAATTTGTGATAATGCAATTACATGCATGAAATGTAATCAATAACAATAAAAGTGTTTTGTTATTATTAAGAATTATACCAAAAAAATACAATGTTTCTGGTTGAACTTGTAGTTACAAAATTTCTGAAAAATTATTATGCTGACAGTCATTGAACTGTCAACTTCATATACAGTAAGTGTTTAAAGATGAACTCTTCTACAGTATTATTAAAGTATACAGTATTACAGTGAAAAAAGTATTTTTAAATGCATTGTATGGTCCTCAAATTTGTTCTACTTCTAATCAAGATAGAAGTCAAAGTTATCTTGATGAAGACATATCTAAGTCCAATTAAAATGCATTTTAATAATGTTTTAGGGTAGCCCACCTCAAAACCCAATAAATAAACCAAATGTAGAATTTAATTATATGTTACGTGTGAATGCACTGTAGTGATGTATATGATAGAACAGTTCCATCCCCCATACCAATCTTGAAAAACCAATACTAATGAAAAAATATTTTTTAACTTTTAAAATATATTAAAAATTATGACCATTATCATTACTTATTTTATGTATAAAATGTATATAAAATAATTGTTTACAATATATTAGTATTAAAAAAATGAATCATGTTAATATGAATTACCATAGTGTGTTTCACTTAAAACAAATCCACTTCAAGCTTATGCAATATTAATTCAAATAATAGATGTTCAGCTATCTTGCAAATTTAACAACGCTAAACTGTTTGTCTGTGTACTACACATTCACTATCCCTTCAATCATATAAAATCAAAAATTCAACACGTTCTTAAATATTCTTTATCAAACATTACACATGATACTGAATTTCTCAAAACTGCACATTATGATTTAATAAACTGTATTTTAAAAAAAACCACTGTATTTACTCAAATAATATGTGCATATTTTTCCAAAACACTAACAAAAAGTTGGAGTGCTCAATTATTTCAAAAAATTTGGTTTGCAAAATCCAAAGTGCTTCCAGTTACTAAGCATTTTGCTTACTTTGCTAGTGAGAAATTTTGCTTATCAACTGAATGACTTTGCTTAATATAATGACAGTATGTAATCAATAGTTACAAACATAATAATGCAAAATTCTTAATAATAAGAATTTTTTGTGAAGATGAAGATAATGTAATAATGTAAGTTAAATATAACTGAGACTGAGAATAAATAATCATTATACCTATATTACCACTTAGTTTAAGATAATGGACTATTAGCATGTTTTCACCTTCAATTCAAATTAAACAATGTAAAGAAGTCTTACTTCCATTTAATTTGTAGTAATTGTATTATCTACAATTAGCAAGTTAATTTATTATAATTTATTTTTTATCAGATATAAATTATTTGTATATCATCATTTAATATCATGTGGACTTGTAACTGAGCATCATCATATTGAATGCTACAAAACAGTGAGAGTAAAGGTTGCTATTATGTTGCAATCATAAATTATTAAAATTTATTAAATATGTAATACTGGTTAAATGTTAAATTTAATTTATCTTAAAAAATGGGATGTGCAGACTACTGGAGGGTGCAGATTATTCAAGTAAATACAATAATATAAAATACTTTCTTGATTTTGCTATGTAAGTGAGTCAGTTTTAAGTGTAATATTATTAGATGAACTTTGAAATCTTATTTTACCTCAATTTCACTTGCACCTGGGCAGTTTCTAAATTCATTTCACTTAAACCAAGACAATCACCACCCAATCTGAAAAAAATAGGAGAACAGTTATTAAATAACAGACATAAGAAACTAAATTATAAATTTGCTTCTACAAATGAGAACACTGCAAAATCCTCAATATATTTCTTTCATCATTTAAAACTGTTTCCCTCACTTCCTTACAATCACCCATTCTTCCTACAATTGTGACTTTGTGCAAGATTATATAAAACATTCTTTTCCAGCACTTAAAAATTCGATAACAGCACGCTGTTTAACTCACGTTGACATAGCACTAGAACATGTCTCCATATTTCCGCTTCTCAAAATATACTGAATGAACGCAACAACCTCAAACTGCGCATGCACATAGAGGGGGAATGTTACTTCCATATGGCACCTGACACGCTTCTGAAAATCATTTCGTTTGTGCTCTACAAGCATGTGTGCATTACTTTTCAGCCTGCCCTCGTAATATATTTGAAAAACGTTAATGAATTCTGGGGTTATTTTCAGTTTATAGTTTAATATATATATATTTTTTTTTATATGAAAGTATTTTGTAATATCNTTTCTACTTCCTTTTCTCTTCTTTACTTTTTCTTTGCTTCTTTATTCTATAATTTTAACTTTTATTCATGTTTTGAAAAGGTGTTGCTAATTTCAATATTTTAAAATAATGACGACGATGACGATTTACAATATTGATTATTTTTGTTTTCTAGGTATCTATATTTCTAAAAATTAAAATTACAAAACTGATTGAACTTCATTAGATGATACTCAATTTTATTTCAGAACTTTTACAGAAATTGTGCTGCTGTTTGTTTCTAGTCATTACATTAATTTTTTAAATCTTCTCTATGATAAAAAATATAAATTTTTCTATCTCATCTCACTGTATGCAAAACTGTTCAATATTTGCTCAGAAATTGTTATGAAAATATTTATGTAATATTTTTTCTTGCATATATTCTTTCATTTCAACACAAATTCTATTAGCTCGAGCTCAATGATAGCTGTTTAAGTTTGTTATATTGAAATTCATGAATTAAATCAAAAATATTAAATTGGTTAATTTGTTATATTGAAGATATATTTATTATATACAATAGATCATCAAAATGAATAATTTTTAGAGTCAATATTTTATTTTTTGTTTCATAATGATGCATTTGCAAGTTTTTTAGGTTTACAGAAATTACAACTGTACTATTAAATATTAATAAAAATTTTGTTTTTTTTGAAAGAAAGACAAACTTTGATCAACTGAACATTTCATGGTAACATAATAATCTTAACAGATATTGTTGTTAATTATTAAAAAAACGTTGATTTTCAGATTTGTGCGTTAATTTTACAAGTTAGTACATTACAGTAATATATTAAATTTTATTTTCAAAAACTGAACATACTTAGCATCTCAAATTTTTATTTTAAATAATTAAGAGATTTTGGTTAAATTATAAAGAAAAAATAATAATTATATATATTGATTAAATATAAAAATAATTAAAAATATACCTTTTATTTGATGCTTCAAAAACTCCACTATCTCCAGCAACTGATTCATCACTAACTGCTGCTGAAACACTTCTGTTATTTGAAATAGCTAAGCCTGTGGCTTGTAATTCATCTTGATCTGTAGATAATTCACATATGGGACTAAGTGGTGGATTACTTGTAACATCACTCCCAGAATCATAGATATTTTTAGGTAGATGAGGATCAGCTGCAGATAATGAATTAAAAGATGGCCGATTTTGATGAGATACAGCAGGTGCAGACTGTAATTGCCGAATGTTTGTATCAATGGTCATTCCCTGTTCTAAACGGCATGATTCAATAAGTCCTGGTAATAATTTGAAGTCATTAAATTTTTCTTCTAATTTTTGTGACTTTCTAATTTTTTCTGTATTTGTTTGTTCGTAAGTAGGAGGTGGACCATATTCATATGGTGAAACAGGTGGTGAAATTGATGATAATGAAGATCGAGGTGAAAGTGAAGGTCCACTTTGATTTTGACCAAATGGAACAGACTGAGAATCTTCATAACCTACTGAGGAAGATGCTATACTTTGTGTGCTACCTTGCAGCAGATGACCAACTCTTTTATGAAGATCTTGAAGAGATGGATCTACAGAACATTGAGGAAGACCATAAATATCTGTAAAACTTAAACTGCTTAAAGAACCTTTGCTGCTTGCTGAAAGAGAACCAGTGCTCAAAGATCCAAGAGAACTGCTTGAAGACATTGATAATGAACTTGTAGATACACTACAGAATAAAAATAAATGTAAAAATATTTAATTTAATAAAAATATTGCCTTAAAAAAATTAATTACAATATTAAATGCTTGACATGTTTATACTGTTATTGTATTTTAAATAAAAAAATGAATCTTTAACTTCTTAAAAATTTTTGCCTCTGGTAAATCAACCAAAATTTTTATCTTTGCTTTGTTAATTTAATATGAAATTTATTATTATTATTTAAGAGAAATTGATAACCATAGTGATAACTAACTCAAACAATAGGAATTGATTTCAAAAAGATATGAAAAAAAAACTAACAAATATTTAAGAGTTGTGGAATATGAAATATAATGTTGAAAGTGGTTTTCTTGAGCAAAAATATTTCCAATGCAAAACTTGTCATTTACTAAACTACATTACATTTCATTTCTACTTTTGCACCTCTGTTTTAGAAAGAAGTAGATTTTTTGTATTGTAGTCTATGCATTTATCAAAACATGATGAAAATAAACTCTCAATATTTTTGTTTAGAAGAAATATTTTGAATTAAGAAAAGATATCTTGAAAATTGACAATTTATTTAATTGAATTTCTGTTTTATAATATTAATAGTTTAGATCTGATATTGTTAAGTCTTAATGAAATCTTTAATGTAAAGAATTAAAATTATGAAAATATGAAACTAGTATTAAAGAATACGTAAAGCATCTGTTAAACAACAATGTTTTACGTATTCAATATTTGAAATAATAAAAAAACTTTTGGTTTTGTTATTGAAATTAATGCCTCAAGATAATAAAGTAATCAACTAATTCATATATATATATATATATATGTGTGTGTGTGTGAATTAGTTGATTATTTCATTATCTTGAGGCATTAATATATCATATATCATATATATATCATAATAAACATGCAGAATAAACATGCAATAAACAATGCAGAATAAACATGAAACAATAATTCAATCAAAGTTTACCTTTTTAATTGCGATTCCAAAAATGTTGTTAATCGCATTGCATCTCTCAACTTTTGAAGAAGAACATTTTTCTGCTCATGTAATTTTAATCTGCAAATAAAATTTGATTTTACTTTCTAGTTTCTAAAGTAATTCCAAATATATTCATGTAAGTATTTAGAGACAAATTCAATCAATGAACAGCAAAAAGAAAATAAGAGCCACCTTATGTTACCCATAGCTTACCTATCAGCAATAGCCCGATTTGACATCTCCATGGCATTACTGAGGTCCTGTTCTAACTTGGATATTTCATTATGAATAGAAGAAATTTCACTTTCAGTTCGGCTCTTGGTGTTGATACTACGAAGTTCACGGAGGAGTTGTTCCTTCTCTTGTATCAGTAGAAGCCTAGGCCATGCAAGCAAACAAACTGAGACATGCATAGGATGCAGCAGGCAAAGACAAAGTTTAAAAGTAAATAAATTTAAAGATAGTATTTTCTTTATTTGAAAGAAAACTGAATAATTTTTGCCATTTTCAGCATGCAAAATATTTTCAATAAACTGTTTATGATACACTGCATATAGTTATATTTTTCTTGTAAGGAAAAAAAATGAAAAGAAAATACGCATTAGAGTATATAAAATATTTTTGAACCAACTTTCAACACATCATATAAATGAAATAATCTTAAAAATATCATTGAAAGAATTGTTATTATTATATTTAAACTATAATTGTTATTAAAAGAAAAATACAAAGTAACATGCATAGTTTCATTAATAGAATAGTTAAAGTTAAAATTTCCTTTTAAAATGTAAAAATAGTTTAACTTTCCAAATAAAAACTATTTTTTGATTTATAAAATAATAGTAATTAGAACAGATACATTTTGCAAGTATATTTTTTTAAACAGGAATACTTAAATTTTTTAATTTCAAAAATTGTTTCTTCTACTGATTTCTTTAGAGTAACATAAGATTTATTTAAGAAGAAAGAAATTTTTATAAAATAAAATTATTACAAACTATAATAAACATTTTTCTTAAACATTAACATTACAATTTCCACTGTTAAAGCTGCCTTTTAAAATATTTTTGAAGATAAAATTTTAACTCTCAAACCATTTCGCAATTATATGGTGAAATTTTATGAAGCCAAATATGAAAATGGAATAACTCACAAAAACCTTTAAGTGACCAGTAAAATATTTAATTGAAAAAACGACAAATGTTTTCGACCGTATTTTTCGATCTTTTTCAGGTTAAAAGTTCCGAAATTCGAAAAGCCATTGTGCTTAAAGATTTAATTCAAGATAATAGACAATTGAGATATTCAATTAATATTTAAGTAAATTGAATTCAATTAAGTTAATTGAAGTTCAATTAAGTAAATTGTTTAATTCATGAATAAAATTTAAACGTTAAAAAATTTTAATTTAAACAATATAGATCTAGAAATAGGAATATTTGAATATATCAAAAACATTTCTATTTAATTTTTTATGAAGATTTCTGTGACAATAAAATTATACTACTTTCTAGATATCATCTTTATTATTATCAATTAAATATATCAATATTTAATAACAGAAGAAATTGATAATAATAAAGATGATATCTAGAAAGTAGTATAATTTTATTGTCACAGAAATCTTTATCAAAAATGAAATAGAAATGTTTTTGATATATTCAAATATTTAATAACATAATATTTACTATAGCTTTCTTCTGTTTTTATTAATAATGAAATTATAAAAGATAAATAAAAAATAAAACGTTTAATTAGTGTTTGTGAATAGAGTATCCTTACCTTAGAAAAAAATATCAAAAATATAGATTTTGTTAACATTAAGCAAAAGAATTTTCTATGTCAAATAGTTGATAAGCAAAAAAACAATATGATGTATATCAACTATTTGACATTGTAATTTGTATTATATCATTGTAAGAGATTTTAATTACATATAAGGAGAAGTTATGTGCTTTCAATATTGCCATCATATAAATAATCCAGTTTCTAATTTCATTAACTACTACTGGATACATTTAGTATGATATTGGACTAGTTTCTCAAAGATCACTAGTTTAAAGCTAAGCCAACAGCCATATCAGATTGCCGGATAATAGCCCAATTATAATTTTAATTAATTTGTCCTAGAGGGAGGCATTAGGTACCATCTCATATTAAATTTAATATGTGCCTAATGTCTCCCTCTAGGACAAATTAATTAGTAATTATAATCATAATCACTGGAAAATAGCCCAATCTCATATGGTAGTTGTTTTGGCTTTATACTAAAACATCTCTCAAAACCTGATTCATATCACTAGTTTAAATCCATTATTCAACAGTCATCATTTCAGCATTTTTTTAATTTATAAACAACACTTATAAAAATTAATAAATTTCTAATCATTTTATGTAAAAATATTTGCAATGATGGATGCTAAAAGCAAAATTAAACTTTTATATAGTAATGATGATTTAATGAAAGCTTACATATACACTGATCTAGTAAAATATTATGACTACATGCTTAAAATGCTATTGCTCTACTACATGCTGTTAAAACAGCTCAGACTCTCCAAGGTAAGAACAATGAACAGTTACACAACTAAGATTTTGAGAATGGAGATTGGGATCTGGCAAATTTGGCTGCCAAGACAACTTGTCAAACTCCTGATCATGTTCCTCAAACTACTTCCAAACATTATGCACCTTATGGCAAAATACATTGATAGAAATGATCTTTTTCAAAAGGACAAAGAATGTCATGCTCATGAAAGAATATACTTGGTCAACAATAATATTTGTAAGTGTAAGTGTATCTTATCAAAATGTGATCTACAGAAATGATGAGACCTAAGGCTTCCCAACAGAATATCCTCTACAACAGCGCTGTCCAACTGGCGGCCCGCCAAATAATTTTTACGGCCCACGAGTACATTTTACTATGAATAAATTTATGTTACTAAATTATTATTATTAAAATTATTTTATTACTGTGTTTCCCCGAAAATAAGACAGTGTCTTATATTAATTTTTGCTCTGAAAAATGCGCTAGGTCTTATTTTCAGAAAATGTCTTATTTTTCCAGGAAGAAGAATTCACATTTATCATTGAACAAAAAAATTCCCAAGTCGAACTTAGACAAGAGTGACGTATATCCGGTGTGTCGAACTGTTGCCTTTTTATAGTGTCAACATTGGACTCGCTGACCAATTAGTGCTTACTGAACCGTAGCACTATGCAAATGTTATGTGGTTTATCAACCTTCTTGGCCCCCAAAATGTTTGGTGAAGAAAATATGGCCCACGGGCTATACTAAGTTGGACAGCGCTGCTCTACAACATTGCATGACCTCCATCAGCTTGGTTTTGTCCAACAGTGCATCCAGGTGTCAAGTTCCTCTTCTAGTAAATAACACAGTGAAATTTGTCAGACCAAAAAAACCTTCTTTCACTAATTCAAGGTCCACTAGCCCATTATCAATAGCATTTGCAGTGGTCATCTGACCATTTAGGCACTGTCAACAATGCATTGGTGTTAGCATAAGACTCTTTGATGGGCCAATAGCTGCATAGCTTCATGTGCAACAATGTTCTGTGCACTTTGCATTGGGATACCTTTCTATTGTTTTCTTCATTAAATTCATCTGCAATTTGTACAACATTTGCCATTCTGTTGCTTTTTACAAGCTGGTTCAGTTTTCACTGGTGTCAATAAGGTGCAATTGATCAACGTCTTGGTGAAGGTTTAAGATTTCTCCCCTTTTCAGACCATTCCTGGTAGATGCTCACCATGACTGCATGGAAACACCTCATCTCAGCCTCATTGTTTTGGAGATACTTGTTTCCAGCCATCTTGCCATCAGAATTTGTCCTCTGTCAAAGCAAGTCTGACAGAGGACAAATTCTGTCATTTTGGCTGCTTTAAACATAACTTACAGTTCTTCATGATGGTTTCTTGCTTATGAAGCAGTTGACATATGCGTGTTCAAATGGAACCTCCCAGCTTCTATCATTATGTCTTCATATGATATTAATATTTTGCTTGATCAGTGTAACTTCCAATATATATAGCCAAAACTGGGTAGATAAAAAGATTATTGAGTCAATTATCAAAGTTGTAGAAATTGCTGAATAATAAATTTAAACTTCTGACCTTTGGGAAATCAGTCCAACACTGTGCTAGTTGAAGCAATTTAACAATCTGATAATTTCAATTAAATTATATTATTACCTAATAGCAAAACTGTACACAGATAAAAGATAAAAGTCTGTCTTTTTTCCATATTTTAAATTATCCAATTATATGATGTACATTATACAGTAAAATATTAATGAGGATGGAAAGTAGCAAATATTAGCTAATAAATTTGAATTGCCACAATTTCTTAGTAGTACTAGACTTGTCTCAAAAGTCAATAATTTTAATTACTTAAAAATTATCAAAGATAAACAAAATACAGTAGAGCGTCGATTATCCGAAAGTCGATCATCCGAAACATCAATTATCCGAAAGAATTCCAGTCGGCAAATTTAAATTTTCGCTAGTGCTGTGGCACTGCAATCTTTGGCTATGTCTTGGGCTACTCAAATATTTTATGTTTTTTATACTAAATTAACTTCTGAAGTATAATTTTTTGTTTTTATATTTGTCAATATATTTATTTTGTTCGTACAAAATAAAAAAAATAATTTTTAACGATACAATAGTCTTCGTTAGGCTTAACATTGACAAAAATTTAACACAAAGCAACACGCAATGGAGAAAAATGTCAAGATGGGATAAATTAATATATTTTTTAGTACATAACTGGTTATCCAAAACATCGATCTTCCGAACAACCCCAGTCCCCAATTGATTCGGATAATCGACGCGCCACTGTAATTATATTGGATAAAATAAAAAAATATAGGAAAAAGCATACAAATAGTCAGTCAATGCCAATTTATGGTGCCATGGCTAGATATGTTCACAGTTTCAAACTGGATCATATGAAAAGGACCTATATCTTCCACAAATAAAAGATCACAGCATATACGCATTTAAATAAAATACAATAGTATGAAACTATATTTTAAAAATTTTGATATCTTTTAATAAGATAATGAGAAAAGTCTAATACAGAATAATATAATGAAAAAATAAAATATTTTAAACTATAAATAGAGCAAATTATAGCAATATAAAATAAGTTACTTATAGAAGTAAATAACACTTCCCTATGTTGTTGATAAAAGAAACAGAACAACTATGAAAGAGAATGCATGGATCAACAGTAATGTCTAATGGATAATCTACTGCATATAAAAAGTGTCAAAGTAAAAACTCAATTAGCCTCAAATCTAGTGATCACAATAGCCAATGGATTAATTTTTCTCAAACTATTTATNTTTATTTACAAATTAAATTTCAAAATCTTACAGCTAGCAATATTTTGTTACAGTATTTTTGCAGAATGACTGGCATGCCACATATAAATGGGAGACCAGCATGCTGAAAACTTCAGGATTAATGGCATGACAGTTAAACTGTGACTAAAATATAAAATTAATCAATCTAACAAAACTAGTTAATTAAATGTTAAAGAAAACATTCTTCCCAGTTCAGTAAAATATTAACATAATTTGACTGATTTAAAATCAAAAAGTGTTTTATATTTACAAGACAATAAAACAATTAATGACTTGCTGCCATTAATAGTAATAGTTGTTAATCAGTGTAGGCTACACTGACCATCTACCCTAACATTAAAAATAACACCTTTCTCTCAAATTTCAAACAAAGCTGATGTCAATTGATGTAAGTTGAGATGATTTACAGTCAGTTTCTTAATTAAAAATAATGTCTTGTATTTTCTAGTAGCTTCATATGAAATTTTCCTGGAATGCTTAATGAGATTTTTATATCTAAAAAATATAAATAAGTATAACACAAACTTTTTTATGACCTAGTATTTATAAAATTTAACTTGTAAATATAATATATGCAATGCTCATGAAGATGATAATGGCAACAGATTCAATACATTATTTAAGTATATCAATTTATTTGGTAACAATTATTAATAAAATATGATAATAAATTGCTCAATAATTAAAACTGGCTTAAGAATCAAAACTATAACTTTATATTTATGTTAAATTAAAATAATTATATAAAGTTCTTTCAAAATTATACATTACAATTTATATTTATGATCTGATAATGTCTGTATATGAAATAATCACTAATTCATGACACTAATAAACTTTTACTTATAATTTATTAAATATATTTTAAGAAATCTTTTTAACATATATAGTACTTGTACATAAGAATATAAGCAAGCAAAATTTCAAGAAATCAAAAATTGACTGCATTCACCAGACTTAACAGTTCCAACTGAATAGAGATATGGTAGCAGTAACTGATCTGCATGATCATCTGCATCTACAAATCTGCTGAATGACAAATAACATGTCATGTTGATAGTGGTACTACAATAATTTCTGCTCATTTCCACAAACTTTAAAAATAAAGTTAATTTACTTTGTCAAATTTTTAAAAGTTATTTTGAATATACAAGTTTCCTCATTATCCAAAAGTAGAACATTTCTGTGAAACCTTTTACAAATCAAAATGGTATAAAAAATAGTAGTAATTACCATTAATTTATAAAGGAAAGAATTTTGAGTATTCCTAGACTCAAAATTAACTTAAAATCACAAAAAAAAAACCCTAAATTAATTTTAACACATAAGAAAAGCAGAAATAATAAGTATTCTTCAGCTGTGTATTTATCATATCTGAATATCACATTGGGATAAAACTCTTCATTTTATATAATCAGTTTTATATTGTTGAATGATTTTGAAAGATCCAGCTTATTTAGAATTAAGAAAACCTGAGAAAGAACCCAGAAGCGGTTAACTGTGACATCAAAACACTCAACATTTTCAGAATTAATGCTACTACAGAGGGTGCCCATCAGAAAAACAATCAACTGTTCCAGAACAGTCAAGTCTGTTGAATGCAGCCATTGCTTTTAAGTATGTATAAAGTTAGCTGTTACTATTCTACACTCTACAAATTCTACATTCTATACAAAATTTAAGTTAGTTAAATTTTGCATAGAATGTTATTGCTTATAATAACATTCTATGCAAAATTTAAAGTATATGTTACAAAGTTAAAATTTTCTTTATTCTGAAAGAATTCCTAAAACTATGTCTATCATATGATCACATATCTTTTCATAACCATATTTCAGGAAAAATTATGGAAAAATCTAATTATTGGATAAGATGAATACTGAATAAAAATGCAAGGAAGTCAATTAAAATAAAAGAAAATTATAGTAACAAGAAAATATCAAGATTAAGACAAGTCTAAAAGATTAATTTCCATTGATCTTTTATATCAAAAAATATCATTAAAAAAATCAGCATTAAGAAAATTTTATCATTTTTTATTTTGATGTATATAATTCATAAGAAATTATTATTATTTTCATTGTAAAATTTAGACAACACATTTAATTAAAACAATTTGACAATATGTAATAAATACTATTTTTCATTACTATGTTTTATTTAAAATTAATATTGACAAAAGAACTGTTTGAAAGTTGTTAGATATTATATTTCAAAGTTTTACAAAGTTTGAAAGAGTTTTGATAAATATATTTTTAATCTTCTCTTTCAGATTTGATAAAAGAACTAATAATTAACCTTTTATTTACAAATTAAATTTCAAAATCTTACAGCTAGCAATATTTTGTTACAGTATTTTTGCAGAATGACTGGCATGCCACATATAAATGGGAGACCAGCATGCTGAAAACTTCAGGATTAATGGCATGACAGTTAAACTGTGACTAAAATATAAAATTAATCAATCTAACAAAACTAGTTAATTAAATGTTAAAGAAAACATTCTTCCCAGTTCAGTAAAATATTAACATAATTTGACTGATTTAAAATCAAAAAGTGTTTTATATTTACAAGACAATAAAACAATTAATGACTTGCTGCCATTAATAGTAATAGTTGTTAATCAGTGTAGGCTACACTGACCATCTACCCTAACATTAAAAATAACACCTTTCTCTCAAATTTCAAACAAAGCTGATGTCAATTGATGTAAGTTGAGATGATTTACAGTCAGTTTCTTAATTAAATTTAATATGTTTACTTTTTGCGTTTTTGAATCAAATTACAATAAAATTACAAAAAACATATTTTTGGAATTCCATGAGTATTTTACATTGTTAGAAAGAGGACAAAATGAAGAAATTAAAGATTACATCAAAAACTATGATCACATGCTGACAATTTCACAGTTTTAGAATAAAAACATTGTTTGTTTGTTTTTTTTAAATGTGTTTCTAGATAAGGATGTATAACCTCACTTAAATGGGCATTCCCTGGGCTAAACTGGCATGCCAGTTTTTACCTTATAGAAATATCTGATTTCTTGGTCTCCCAGATACACTGAATTGCTGTACAATCCGTGAAAATACAGTAGTATTACATAAATATAATGCAAAGGATGAAACAACTATATACTCAAATTTTAACTTTATTTTAAACACAAAACACACACAGAGAGAGAGAGGGGGGGAGAAGGATAGAAACACCAGATGAGATATGTAATTGTTTCATCCATGTTTATTATTTATGTAATAATTATACAAGCAGTAAATGTTTAAAAACATTTTATTTGCACTATTTTGGTAAATATTTATTTTAAAATAATGAAACTTTCTGAGAAAAATACAGTTCCAATTATAAATAAATTGGAACCTAAATTTTAAGTATATATTAAACAGCAAACAAATTAGTTTATTTTATTTCAAAATATAGTATAAACATTTCTAAAATTCTGAAATTTTCTGAATTTATTAGTGTTATTTCTGTTTAAGTAATAATTAAATTAATTAAAGCAAAATTTTTAAAAATCTGTTACATTAAAAATGTATATATACACAAAAAAATAATCATCATCATCATCACTGTAAAAAATTTATAATCAAAATACTGATTTATAAAAAGATTATTATGAATAAAATGTTCTATTAACTGACCTAAATTAAATTTGAAAATTTGTTAGCATAATAATCAAAATAATTTAATTTATGTACATTATTTAAATAATAGAGAGAATTAATTTCTGAAATTATTTTAATGTTTATGTTTAAAAGAGTTTTCAGTTAAAAATAAGATTAAAAAAAATTTCAAGTTTCAAATATTTTGTTACTCTACCTGTCCTTATCTGATTCAACTTGACCAGGAGCCATTTTATCTTCAAGATCAGCTAGTTCTTGTTGGATCTTGTGAACTTGTTTTCTAGCTTCATCATATTGTAACCTCATACGAGCCATTTCTGCCAAACGTGCACCAACACGTCCAATCTAATTAAGTAATGCTAATATTAATAAATTTTCCAAACTAAGAAGCTATTAAATTTAAATCAATATAATAAAATTTCTTATACAGAATAATTAGTTTGGTATATATTAACTATCAACTATTAGAAAAGTAACTTTCACTAAAAATTCTTGTTATAAAAAATACAAAACACTCTAAACTTTAATTAAGACTGTAGTGTTATTCAGATTTTCAACATTTTATGAAGAACAAAAAAGTTATATAATTCAAATAATATAAATGAATAAAAACTAACAAATTGCTGCCTAAGAACAATCAAAGAAACAAGCTGTTAAACATACAAGAAAATAATTTTATTAATGGATGTTTTTGCAAAATATTCATTAAAAGATTTTGAGCATCTTCAGAATCATTAAAGTTTCTATTGTTTAACTGTGGCTCTTTTTAAACATTTTCACATCTATAAAGTGGTTATAAGGAATTTCTAAAAGAAAGTAAAAAGTAAAATAAAAAAAATAAGAATAATACAAATTTAGAATATAAACTATATAGTTTAAAAATTTTTTTAAATGTAGATTATAAAGTTTTTTTAAAAACTTATAACAAATACAAATATAAATTAAGTTTTATTAAAGCATTCTATTTCAATTGAAAGCAAAACTAAGAATTCTAAAAAAACTTTGTGAAATAATTTATATAATGTTTTCAAAGTTTATTTTACATAAGTGTCTGATTTTACTATTTTACAGTTTTTGCAATTTGAAAAACAAGCATTATAATATGTTATTTTTATCCTAAAATTAAGACATTCCTTAGCATTTTTGAATCATCATAATTTAATTTCCTGTATGTTACCAGCAATGTATACCCCACAGAAAATTACAAGTGAAAATAAAAAATGTCAGATAACACTACTGCTGTATATCCTGCACCTTCAAAGCTGATGCTAAAAACATGCCACTCAACTGGTATGAAACTTAGAAGGCAACTTCAGTTGCCTCATTTCTCTCTTGGAGAGCCACTGCAGCTATTGCAAAAATACTATTTTGCTCAATGCACTTCAATATTGAACCATACAATTCCAAAGCAAGATTGGCATCAATTTTCCTGCAGAAGTCTGAAATTTTAACTTTGTTTTCAATGACATGACATGTTTCCCTACAATAATCTATTGATTAAACAAAACATAATTCAAAATAAATGGATTCATGTAAACAGATCATAGCTTATGTTCTACAACTTTACTGTAACATTACAGTAAAGTTTCCATCTTTTAAATGGATTTTTAAACAAAGATAGCACTAACTAATCAAATACTAACTTGTTGATAAAGTCAATCTACTTTTTGATTTTACCCTCACTTTTTCATTATGCTTGAATACCTATTCAAGCTTAATGAAATTAAATTATTTTTAAAGCTAATAAGATGTTTAGCCAAAAACATAATTTTTACCTCTCCAGACAAATCTGTTTGTGATGCTGTACTAAGTTTCTCTTGGGGAATACTTAATGTAGAGACATCTGGAGATGCTGGCTGCAAACATGATAAATCTTCTTTTAATCTTGCCAAACTCTAAAAAAATTAAAATTAAAAAACTTTAAAAGGATTCTTAGCATTTCAGAATTTGTAACCCTAGAATCATTCAAAAATAAGTACTTAAAGCACAAGGTTATTGCTTAAGTGTTTTATATAATCAGTAATATTGTGCATCTTGAATACATCATTATCATCATCATAATAATAATAATAACTCTCCCATGGTCACCATCTGGTCATGGTGGGAGAGCCCAGTAATTTTACTGAACCATAGGGCAATGCAGGTTGGAGCACAAGCTCCTGGTAGGGACACCCATGCCAGTAAAGTCTATGGGGAGAAATGAAGCTAAGAGACATACCCACATTCTATGGAGATATTTATCAAGGTAGTAACCAGATCTAAGTATGATACCAGCTCAAACGTCACCTGGGTTAACAAGGTCCATGTTTGTGGGTTAGGCAGAGGCTCACGTTCGAAAAATAGGCCACAGTCTCCCTTGATTACCAGTGGCAAAAGCAGTGCCGGCCCAAGCATGGCTACTGCAATGCCCTAAACAGATGTGAGGAATCAACCTAGCCTTGGTGTTTCTGTGGCAATGCATCCACAGACTACAAAGGCTGGAAAACCACGCCAACGGATGAAATGGCACTTACTACACCATCACAAGAGTCGAAACAAACATGACAGCATACAGACAACAACTACACCACATATTCACACAACAATATCCTCACCTCACTGTCACCGAACAAAGGGTTGTTGATCAAAAACAAACAATTATACACAACAACCTTATCCCACAAACAACAATTGAACTTATCAAACAACAGGTTGCTGATCAAATACATCAACAGACAGAAACATTTAACATTATTAATGAAGATCACGTAACCTGTCAGAATAATCCAGCAAGCAGCATTGATAATAGCATACATACAACAACTACAACTAATGATACTACAGGCACTTCCTCATTCATCACTGATAACGTAGACATAGAATTAGTTAATACGCTCTCACTTATATTTCAGGAAACACTCATTAAATATACTGGTACAGATCCCACACAAAGACCACGAATACCAAAAATCAACACGTCAAAGGCAGTAGGAAAAACACTAGATTATGTAAACACTCACTTACTACCAAACTACATTCATTCAATTTCTACACTTACAGACATTCATACATTAGTTTATGCTGGGGCAGTCACAGTAGTAACACACCATGGACTGAAAATACACTCACAGACAGACACACACAAAACACAATTCTATCATAAGCCTGCCTGGCAGAGAAGAATAGAAACACAAATAAATGACATTAGACAGCAATTAGGCAGGCTGACACAATACACTAAAAACAACATAACACCCAAATTAAAGAAACAACTCAAAAACATTTTCAAGAAAATCAAAACACACACAAAACACGAACATCACAACACACACATTACAGAATACATCGATACACTAAAACAAAAACTCGCAGCCAAAGCACGTAGACTCAAACGATACAAAACATGTACACTACGAAAACAACAAAATAAATTATTCACAAACAATGAAAAACTTTTCTACAGACAAATCAGTACCAAAACAAACACTGATACACAGCACAGTGGCACACCAACAGAAGAAGAACTCACAACTTATTGGTCTTCTCTTTGGTCCAATGCTGTTACACACAATGCTGATGCAGGCTGGATCAAGGAGGAGAACAGAAACTTGCATAACATACCAAGTATGCCCTGTGCTGAAATAAACATACACGACATTCGCTACGCTGTTAACAGAACACACAACTGGAAGACACCTGGTGTAGACAACATTCACAATTTCTGGTACAAAAAGTTTACATCACTGCACCAGGAACTAGCTAAACATCTAACACACATCATCATCAATCCACAAGACATGCCAAAATTTCTTACTCGGGGCATTACCTACATGAAACCTAAAAACAACAAAACCACAGACCCCACACAATACAGACCAATTACATGTCTTCCAACACTCTACAAATTATTGACATCCTGTATCACAAACAAAATATACAAACATGTTGAAGAACACGACATTCTTACAGAACAACAAAAAGGTTGCCGTAGAAATCACAGGGGATGCAAAGAACAGTTACTCATAGATTCAGTCATTCTACGGCAAGCACACAAACAACACAGAAACATACACATGGCACATATAGACTACAGAAAAGCATTCGACAGTGTTCCACACAGTTGGCTGCTACATATTCTACACATGTACAAAATACATCAGTCACTCATTGCATTCTTCCAAAACACTATGCAGCACTGGAGAACAACACTACATCTCAGGGTTAGTAACAATTCCATACAAACAAACAAAATATTCATTAGGCGAGGAATTTTTCAAGGAGATTCCTTGAGTCCACTCTGGTTCTGCCTAGCCCTGAATCCATAATCCAACACGTTAAACAACATGCAATATGGCTACAATATCAGACATAAAAAAATAACACAGTTTACGTTGTCACATCTTATGTACATGGACGACATAAAACTTTATGCATCTATACAAAAACAACTTCAGCAGCTCCTACAAATCACACATTCATACACCAAGGACATACAAATGGAGTTTGGCGTAGACAAATGCAAAAAGCTTCACATAGAAAAAGGAATCCTGAAGAAAGAAGATTTTGCACTTGGAAATGGGGACATTATTGAATCCATGGAAGAGGGTGAATTCTACAAATATTTAGGATTCCAACAGGCCAAACTAACAGAACATACACAAATAAAGCAAAAATTAATTAAAGAATACCAAAGTAGGTTAAATGCTATCCTCAGAACACAGTTAAATGCAAAACACACAGTTAATTAAAGCAATAAACACATATGTCATCCCAGTACTCACATACTCTTTTGGAGTTTTACATTGGACTCACAGATCTTGAGTAACTCCAAAGGAAAACAAGAACAACACTTACTAAGCATAAACATCATCATCCTAAATCTGCCACAGAAAGATTAACCCTTCCACGTAAAGATGGCAGACGTGGCCTGATTGACATAGTTAACCTTCACTACAAACAAATACAGTCACAGCGAGAGTTTTTCTACAGGAAACAAGAAACATCACAGTTACATAAAGCAGTAACTCTAGCAGGCTCAAATAACACACCATTAAACTTACACTCACAACATACAGACATGACACAACATATAAAAAGCATAGACAACATTAAGCAATCATGGGCTCAAAAGGCTCTCCATGGCAGGCATCCTTACGACCTGGCCCAGGATTTTGTTGACAAAACTGCGTCAAACAGCTGGTTAGATCGGGGATGCCTCTTTGGGGAGACGGAAGGATTCATGATTGCCATACAGGATCAGGTCATAAATACTAAAAACTACAGAAAACACATACTCAAAGATACAACACTCACAAATGACACATGCAGAAAATGTCACATCATGCCAGAAACTATACAACACATCACTTCTGGTTGCAAGCTCTTGGCACAGACAGATTACTTACATAGACACAATCAAGTAGCAAATATAATACACCAAGAGCTTGCAAAGAAACACAAATTGGCAGACATCCACGAACCATACTACAAGTATATTCCACAGACAGTATTGGAAAATAACACGCACAAAATGTATTACGACAGAGCCATAATCACAGATAAAACAATTTACCACAACAGACCAGACATCACACTCATTGACAAACACAATAAAATCACATACATTATAGACATAGCCATTCCAAACACTCACAATGTACAAAACACATGCACTGAAAAAATTAGCAAGTACACAGAACTCGCCCAGGAAATAAGGCATCTGTGGAGGATGGATAGGGTGCTTATTGTACCTGTCGTTCTCTCCTGTACAGGTGTGATACCACACACACTACACAAAAGCCTGGAAACATTACAATTAAATAGAAATACATACATCACACTACAGAAGGCCACTATATTGAATACATGCCACATTGTTAGGAAATTCCTGAATACAGGCACTGACAATGACACACATATTTAATTTTAGTTTGTTTTGGTTGCTATGCCTTGACTCTGGTCCGGCATAGTACACAGCCACCGGTGTGAACCGAGTAACCCACTAACCCCAACATAATAATAATATAGTAAAATTAAAGGAAAATTTAAACACAAAATAATGTAAAATTTATTTTCAAAGTTATAAAAGTTATCATCTCAATTTAGATTTAAAAATAAATTATAAACTAAAAATTTAATTTTTATATTAAAATCAAATAGACATTAATGTAATTATGCATACTGTAAAACAATATTTTTACATTTGCTGTATGTATTCTATAATTATATTAATTTCTAACCAAATATTTTTTTTATTTTTTTCATTTATTGATAGTCATGAACATATTCTATGCATTAAAATCTATTAAAATACAAATTTAGTCAGTATGAAATATTAAATTATATCAATTCTGCAACTCTGTTTTCACTCATATATTACCTTATTAATCTATTCAAAATGAATACATATTTATGTGTGTTACTGAGTACATTTATTAAACAAAAATTTCCCTTCTTTTAATTCTCTTCTGTTTACTGAAAAGTATTCATTTTCTCCATTAAAACATAATACAGTGGCACCTCAGGATACAAAATTAATCCGTTCCGAAACTGAGATCGTATCATGAAAATGTCGTAAGGTGGATCATCTTTTCCCATACGATTACATGTAAAACCAAATAATTCGTTCCAACGCGAAAATCATGCTCAAATTAAAGCCAAGTAATACATTAAAAAAAATAACTGTAGTAAGAAAAACAAATGAAAAATGCGAACTAATGTAACGTCGTATGGCGAGTTTTTGTTCGTATCGTGGAGCAAAAATATGTTCGAATTTCATGTCATATCCTGAAAATTTCGTATGCTGAGGCGTTTGTAACCTGAGGTACCACTGTATTATTAAATATTGTTTTGTTCAGAAGGAGTTTAATCCAAAGTATTAAATCTTTTCAACATGATTCACATATTCATGAAAAATAAATATGGGAAGTTTAAACAGAATAAATGATTAAACAAATAAAGATAAGCAATGTTTAATAAAATATAAAACAACATGAGATACTTTAAAAATTTTTAAGAACACTTACTTGCATAAGTTCAATTTTTTCTTTTTCTCCACTACTAAGAGATTTCTGAATGTTGCGCAATTCTTCAAAAATTGCTTGAGCTTCAGCTAAACTATAACCTGTTTGCTGATCAGAAAACTGTTGATCCACTCTATAAATATATATACATCAAAAGAATTTAAATGGGATACATTCTAAATTATTATTTTAAAAAAAATTTTGAAAATTTAAAATTTAACTTTTATCGTGAATAAATATATTATATACAACGTAAATGATTTTAAAATAATGTAAACATTTAAAAACATGACAATGTTCATGAATCCATAATAAACCTTAACTAAATGAAAAGAGGCAAAAATATTGGTAAAGCATTTTAAATATCATCAAAAGTCATGATATTTGGTTGTTTTAGATATTTAGATTTTACAAAAATAGAGCATATAATAAAATTTCAATTATTGATGTAAGAAATTGATTTTTGTATATCAAATAGTTTTTTAAATACCTAAAACTAAATAAAAATTATAAAAACTAATTCCATACAAAATATAAGGAAGCAGGAAACACAGTCATAAATTTATGAATAATCAAATTTTTAGGCAACTATAATATCAAGTTTGATTTTCCATATATTTTGGATATCATGAAATATTTTATGATAAGAATTATACTTAATTCCAAATTTTCTATAATTACAAATGCTGCTAATCAATGGATTTTAAATATTATTATAAAAGTTTGTCACAATATCCGTATCCAAACAAAGAATTTTCAGCATCATTCCAAAACTAATTAGTAATTTTAAAATTTATGAAATCAGTGATTTAAAACTTGTTTTTCTTATATAACACATATAATCGAATTCAGATTTTCAAATGTTTTATCTCATACTTTCCATAAATATCATTAGCATATTGTCAGTTGGCAATCAAAAACTCATATCTCCAATAATGAGTCAAAAACTAATTACTGCATTAATGTGTTAACGTAACTTTCATTTAAAAAACTTGACTTTTGAGAAAAAAATTTTTTTTCTCTAGTCAACCTAATGTGCTTATACAAATATTAAAAACATTAAGAAACAAATTAGTAAGACCAAGGATAAATGCTTTTAGTAAACTTAAGATGTTCTAAGAAAAGATTAAATTCAGTTTTGATGAGATCTGATCTTAGTCTTAATAATTTTTGAACTTCTCTGAATAATGTTATTGTTCTACAATTGTATTGTAAAACTGGAAGAAATGCATAATAAAGTGAAAAACAGGATAGACAAGATAAACACTAAATATTAACTAAATGAAAGAAAACATTTTTACCTTCTTTTTTGAATTAATAAAGAGGAATATATTTAATGTTAATTAGGGAAAAAAATGCTAAAATTATTCAAAATCAAATATTATTATTTTGCAAAAATTGAACCAATCTGTAACAAAGTGATACATTGAAAGTATTGAGCAAAGTTTCCAAAACTATCGATTGTAGTTTGCTTATAAACTTGGCAAGTTCTGCAAAACTGCCTTAAGTTTAATCTTCCAAATTTAAAAAGATCCTTGATAACACAATTATTATAGTTTTCCTTGATTCTAAAATACTTAAGAAATTTCTATTCATCCACTGAACTTGTTGGTTTTGAAAAGGATTTTGCATTAATTTACTGAATTGGTCTCAGATTTTACAAAAAAAATTATAGTTTTCTTGCTGTGAAGTTCTTTTAAGATATTGATGGTATGCATTGACCAATAAATAAAATTTTTTTCTTTAATAAATAAAAGAAAAAAACAGTTTTTTATAATTTAATAATAATACATGTAAAGTATATAAAATAAATATATTTTTGTATATTATTATTATTATTATTATTATTACTTGTTAAACATTCATTTACAAAAAAAGTTATGCATCAAGAAGGCATTAGATCGAATGAATTCTTCTTTATTAGTGCAAACATAATGATGATAAGTGGATTATAATATCAACAACAAGGATGATAAATGATTATAATATTATAGCAAAGGGACAGTAAAATTAAAAAAAAACCCTTCAGTGCCTTGTAGGACCTACTCTTATCTAAATGTATGTGATACCATATTTTTATGGAATGACCAGCATGCCTGTCTATCTGGGAAGACCATGAAATCAGATATTTTCTTATGGTAAAAACCATCTTATCCCGAAGAATAAAATGAATGAGTTATGAGTTTTTATTCTAAAACTGTGAAAAGGTCAGCTTTACATCAAAAATTATGATTATATCTTTAATTTCTTCATTTTGTCTTCATTCTAACAATGTAAAATACAATCCAAAAGTGCTTTTTTAATGTGTATTTTATTGTTATTTGATTCAAAAACACAAAAATAAACATATTAAATTCAAAAAACTCGCTGTAAATTAGCTTACACCAATTAACATCAGCTTTGTGTAAAATTTAACAGAAAGATGTTATTTTTAAGGTCAGAGTAGATGGTCAGTGTAGCCCACACTGATTTACTACCACTACTATTATTGTGTACAAGACAACAAAACAATTAATGTCAATGTGTCATTAATTGTTTTGTTGTCTTGTACACACAAACTCTCTTCTTGATTTTAAGTTATTCAAATTACGATGTTGTTATTTTATTGTTCTCGGAAGAATGTTTCCTTTAACCAGGGATGCACAACCGTTTTTGAAGAAGGGCCAAATTAGGATTAAGTTTACTGACTGGGGGCCAGACCTCCAAGTGATTAATGCGATGGCTGAAATTGGATGCTGGCGGCAATCTTCTTGATGTCTGGCGTAATGGCAGATGTTGAAACAACCAGCAGATTTTCCAAATTCTTGTTGGTTAACCTGTTCCATGTTTTGCACTTGTTTAAATTCATAAACGCTTGTTCACATAAATAGGTACTGCCAAACATGCTTGCACAAAATCGAGCATTGTCTTTCAGTTTTGGAAATGATGTATCTGGCAGTTCTTTGTAGAATGTGAGGAGATTAGAATTTTTAAACTGTGATTTCAATTCATCACTGCACTGGATGTCTATCAACTCAAGTTGGACATCTGGAGGGGCATCTTCCACTTTCACATCAAATGGAGTTGAAAAAAGTTGCAGGTAGATCTTGTATTTCAGGAATTCACCAAACCTCTCATTGAATGATGTAAGGAGGGTGTTAACTTGGTCAGAGTAATCCATCTTCATATGTGGGTATTTCTCTTTCATGGCCTTGGAATGTGGAAAGGGTGTAAAGTTCTCTGATTGCATGTGGGACTTGAAAAGTGATAGTTTGGTCATAAATGCATTGATGTTACTTGCCAACTGAGAAACAAGTTGCATCTTTCCCTGCAATCTCAAATTAAGGTCATTTAGATAAGCAGTAATGTCAGCAAGGAAAGCTAAATCACACTGCCATCTTTGTCTCTCCAAATTCCTTGTAGTGTTCCCCCGTTCTTTGAGAAAAGTGATAATAGGCTCCAACAGCTCCACAAATCTCGAGGACTGTTGCCTTGCTCAGCCAACGAACTTCAGTGTACGTGGGCAGGTCAGCATAATCAGCATCTATTTCTTCAAGAAATGATGTGAAGAGTCGATGGTTGAGTCCATGATGGCGGATTAAGTTCACAGTATCATAGACATCTTTCAGCAGACGTTCAAATCCCAGCTTCTTTGCACAAAGTTGCTGTTGGTGAATTATGCAATGATACTGGACTAACTCCTTTTGCCTGTCCCCAAGGTGGTTTTTCAGCAAGGTGACCATGCCATTCTCACATCCAACCATAGATGGTGCTCCATCGGTGGCAATGCTGGATAGCTTGTCAAAGTCCAGTGCTGATTTGTTGCAAACGCTCAATAAACTAGTAAATAAGTCAGCACCAGTTGTATGTCCAGAAAGTGATGCCATGCCAAGAAATTCTTCATTCACAATAAAATCTAGTGAAACACTTCTAATAAACACAATCACTTGTGCTGTTGATGATATGTCAGTGGATTCTTCCACAGCCAAAGAAAAATAAGCACAGTTTGCAACTAAAATATTAAGTTGGCCAGAAATGTCTGATGCAATTTGCGAGATTCTTTGTTGTATCGTCATGTGGTTAAGACTGATTGTTTGAAAACACTGTCTTCTCAGGACACATCTCACTTGCGATGATAAGACACTTTTTTATCATATCGCCATCTGTGAAAGGTTTCCCATTCTTGGCTATTAAAGCAGATATTTCTAGGCTGGCTTCAACAGCCGCATCCAATTCTCCAGATTGTTTCTTGAACACATTTTGTTGGCTGATTAGTGATCGTCGTAACGATTCGATTTTCCGTTTGCGTTCCGTACCTTGCAGAAGGAAATCCTTGTGTTGGCTTTCATGATGTCGCTTCAGGTTGAATTCTTTTGGCACTGCTATTGTTCCATTGCACAAAAGGCAAATAATGCTGTTGTTCTGTTGCACAAAACAGTACTTGTTAGTCCACACTTCCACTTCTTGAAACTGATGATTCTCGCGATTGACCTTGCGTTTAATGCCCGGCGCCATACTGTTCACTCTGCAAAACAATGTCTCATTGTGCCGAAAATTCTGAGGCCCGCAACAAATCATGTTTGAGATAAGGCAAGCTAGACTACCACGTGCTTTGTTCTGTATCCACTCTGACCAAAGACTAAAGAGGCGGGGACAGAAGACTATTACGCACACGTGGCCAGGCAGGTCTTAATTCGTTCGACCCCTGTCCGGGCGTCTCCACCATTTCTCAGAATTTGTGAGTCAGATCGTCAACATGCCAGGTGCAGGACACTAATCCATCATAAATGTGGTTACCATTCTTACCTAAATTATATTTATGGCCCGTCAGTTTTACCCCCGTGTTCAGAAATGAATCAAAAGTGATTAACACAGTGCAGTGGAAAATCTGAATATTTTAAATATAATTATTAAAATTGCGATATCTCGTTTCAAATTGGCGCTAGAATCAATTTTTTTTTTTTTTCTGTCCTAAATATATCACAGTTTACGACTGTTAAATTTCAAATAAAATAAAAATTAAAAATAATAATTTAATTTTAAATTTACGAAAAAAAGAATGTAAAAATAAAAGTAAATAAAAAGTTCCAATTAATTTACTACTTAAATAACCTAAATATATCTGTTTTCTTTCAAACAAAAAAAACCGCAGCT